TGGAGGGACGGGGTTTGCGCCATTGAACTTCTCACCCCGAAAATAGGGGGTATTCATGGTTTTGTACTGCTTTATAGACAAAATTTCGAAAGCTATATACATTTAGCAAATGGGGGGGGGTGTCGCCCCCTTACAGGTCAAGGAGGGCAATATAACTGTTGTAAAGGGTGTATTTGTATTTAGGAAAACATAACAAATCAATATAATAGGGAAGAAAAAATATTTTGGCTGGGGGGGGAATTCCCCCCCTTGTAAGTAGGAAGGGGGGGGGTTAGGTCGTCGGCGATGGTTCCATTGGATTTCTCACCCCAAAAATAGGGGATATTTATTATTTTTGTACTGATTTACCGACATATTCTCCAAAATTATATATATTTAGTCAAAGGGGGGGGGAGGGTCTTGCCCTTACAGTACAAGGGGGCAGTATAAGTGTTAAAATGAGTTTATTTGTATGGAGGATAATATAATAAATAAATACACATGAAAACAAATATATTTTATTCAAAGAATATCCATCTACCCCTTGTAATTAGAAAGGGGGGGGCTCGTAGGGGGACGGCGATGGTCCCATCGAATTCCTCGCCCCAAAAATAGTAGGGCTACATGGTTTATACAGCTGTAGGTACAAACTGGAGAAAATCCCTGAAAGGGATCAAAAGTTTGAAAAAATTTCCCCGAATAGGGATAAATCTCGCTTAAAAAATCCCACTCCCCAGAGCCATACACCTACCATTTGTTCTAAAGGTGGCCTAGCCTACTTAAGTTACGTTATGTATGGGTAATTTACAGTTTCTTAACTGTGCTATGCTAATAAGCAGAGGATACATGTCCCGTAACCGGACGTAGATTAGGCGTCCTGCAGTTACTGTCATAACCTAACCTAACCAACCGAACTTGCTGATGATGAAAAAATCGAATGAAGGTTAAATTAGGCTAGGCCTATGTTCGTGAAATAAAATTATAAATGCCTAACGAAAGATGTAGGTAGGTACAGTGAAGAAGAAATTGCATTCAGAGCAAAATCTGTGAAAAAAAGTTAAAGTTACCGATTGGATTCGAACCAGGGACCTCTTGCATATAAGCCGAGCACTCTATCCGCTAAAACATTTTTTTTGAAGTCATCTAAAACATCTTGAAAATGAACGAGCACTTGACATAAAACCACATTAGGACAGGACGACGTCTGTCAGGCCAGCTAGTACCTATTTATTTTATATTAAAGCATTTCAGTTCTAATAAGTTAATGCCATACAAAGTGTGTTGTTTTCAAACACCTAGGCCTACATTATTATGCGTTAAATAAAGGTATAAACCCCGAAAACAACAGTTAGCTATGGATTAAAATTAATTAGTCTAAGTACCTAACAAATCTAGGGGGACAAAAGTGAGAAAATGCTTTATGCAGTCGTAAAATGATTCAAACCCATGAACATTTAAAAATAAGTAATGTAGCCTAAACCAACTATAATAACTACCCTAATAAAATTATATACCTAAGTTACCTATACGTCAAAAACAATAATTCAAGTTAACATTTATACATTGATTATCAAACTCGGGTAGAATATTCCAAGCTGCTCAGAGTCGATTATTTAATATTACACGGTCCGTGAACAGATACTTCACGTGCTCGAAATGTAATGGCTCGCCATTGCCCTTTTTAACAATTAAGTTATCTTACTTGCAAATTGTCAGAAAACGTTCGACTAAGTTTATGCCAATTTCGTGCCAAACACTAGAGGCTAAATTGCAGTTATAGCACGATCAGAAACACCATAACGATCACTAGCCTATAAACAAAACAGTACGGTAGAGTTTGTTCATCCTCATTTTCCTACCATAGGTCTTTTTTTGCAAGTTTATGTAGGCTACAGGTTCTTGGTTGCTATCATTTAAATCATAAATTTTAGTTTGTGAGCATAGGGATGGATTATCATCACCATCCGGTTGTTCAATTTCGGAATCTAAAACTACGGAATCACATGGTGTCATTCGGGTCACTGACCCGAAAGAGCCGTGCTAAAGTGATTGTATTGCTATGCGCGACCGGTAGATCGATTCTCACTTCCTCTGTTGTTTTTGTTAGCCTACTGAATGTATAGGCTCAACCAATATTTTAAATATTTTTACCCTGTTTTGGTCTTACAATTTAGCAACTTTTCCAAGTTATTACAACTTGAAAATAAAATTAATGATTTTTTTTTCTACCCACCCAATCATTATCATGTGTATAGTCAATGGTGTAGGGGAGAGTGGGGCACATTTGAACGGTTTAAATTTGCCGTCATTTTTATACTCGCAGGCCATTGGACCAGATGTAAAATGTAGCCCTCCAATAGGGCAACTGGTTGCATTCATCTCCCTCCATTTCTGATCAGTTCTTAGTTTGTTGTTGGGAAAGGAAGTTTTAGAGCGCCATAAGAAAATTTTTTAAGCAGTAGGGATTTGTAAATTTTCCATAGAAAAACTACATTACAGATAAGTTTGATCCATTTGCCTTATGGTTTATACATATTTAGATACAATTATGCTCTTCACATTGATAAATTACAATCCAAGAAAACATAATTTAACTTTATGCAAAATGGTGTCTAGTGGGGTAGATTTGAACAAGAGTCTGAGGGGTACATTTGAACACCATGTTTTCCTCTGGTAAGCATGTTGTTCAAATGTACCCCAACTGATTATATTTGTTTCCTATACAAGACAGTAATGAATAATGATAATTTAAGACTATAAGCTTCCTCAACCAATAATGAGTGTGAGAACTGCACATGCAGCGAACTAATATAACTTTGCTATTAACTTTGCAACATTTAGCTACAAATAACATGAATCTAAAAAATTAAATGAAGAATTAGTTCCAATAGAAATAAGAACTGTTTTTATCAACTCACATGCATAACGATTCCTGTAAAATAAAAATTTTCATTTTACTTAATTAGTGTGTTCAATTGTACCCCACTTCTTGTTCAAAAGTACCCCACTGGTGGGGTACTTTTGAATGATTTGCATACCTTTGTGAAAACAGATATTGCACATTAACATGTTAACTTGGAGGGTTTTAAAAATAACTCAATTAAAGCTAACATTATGTTACAACTAAATGTAATAATATTTTTATTAAAAACACATCAATTCACCTATTAAAAAATTAAAGTTTAAAAAGTGTTCAAATGTGCCCCACCCACTCTCCCCTACCTAGCTTATAGGCCTATGTCCTACTTAAATTTAGTGTCTCATAAACTTATCTGGAATCACTACTAAGGCAAGGAGGAAAGCTCGTGTGGCTGCACTGCTAAAACCTGGAAAGATCCAAACGATCCTAAGAACTTTCGACCAGTTTCTCTCTTATGCCACACATATAAAATATTAGAACATCTGATGTACTCAATCGAATCGGCGATTTTCTGGAATAAAAGATCATTCCACAACAGGCAGGCTTTCGAACAAGCAAGTCTTGTTGTGGCCAAGTTCTAAACCTGACCCAGCACATTGAGGATGGGTTTGAGAGAAAACAGATTACGGATGTCGCTTTTGTAGATTTAACAGCTGCCTACGATACCGTAAACCATCGAAGACTCTTGGGAAAAGTGTACAGCATTACCAAAGACTATCAGCTGACATCAATGATAGGCACTTTTCTTCATAACAGGCGGTTTTTCGTGTCCCTTCAAGGCAAGAAAAGTAGATGGAGGAATCAAAGAAATGGATTGCCTCAGGGTAGTGTCTTAGCCCCAGCTCTTTATAACATTTACACTAACGACCAACCGTTGCCAAATGCTACGTACGTCAGTAGGCCTATATGTATGCTGATGATACGGCGGTGGCGGCACAAGGTAGGAGTTTTGAAGAGGTGGAACAGAAGCTGACTATGACTCTAAATGGGTATGACTTAAATGGGTTTATCGTACGTTTGATACAATTTTTAAAATTAACTTTCCCAGTACTATGAGGCAAATTACCTCATGCCGAACCCTGCTAAGACCCAAGTTTGTGCCTTTCACCTTGGAAACAATAGAGAAGCAGACTATGAGGTGGCGGGGAGACCGTCTTCAGCATTGTCCTACACCCAAATATCTTGGTGTCATACTGGACCCCACACCAGCAGATGCTGGGGTGCTAACCCTAATGTCCTCAGAACCTCAGCTTTAGCGCTCAGTGTGTCGGCTGCGAAGTACGCTGCACCGTATGGAATGCATCGTCACATGCAAAAAAGGTTGACATTGCAGTCAATGACATGGCTCGGATTGTAACTGTTTGTTTGAAACCAACCCCAGTAGGCGTACACAAACTCTATCCTATCGTATGGATCGCCCCTCCATCAGTCCGACAAGATGTCGCTGCCGATGCAGAAAGGACTAAGCAAGAGACCCTCTTTACCCATTACATGGCCACCAACCTGCAGAGCGACGGCTTCGGTCCAGAAAGAGCTTTTTATCATGGACACGAGTCCTGGATGGATCACTCTCAAGCAATTGGGTGGCAAGGTGGGAGGCCACGTTGACTAACCCTCCCATACCAGCCAGGGAGGAACTGGCTCCTGGTGGAGGCCTTCATTACACGGTGTGGAAGACCCTAAATCGAATTAGGGTCGAGGTACCAAAATGCAAGACTAACATGCAGAAATGGGGTTTCTTACCAGACGAAGAAAACATCTTGTGTGCGTGTGGTGCTGTTCAGGATCCTGGCCATCTGCTGATTTGTCCACGCCTAGACCAGTCTTGCACATTAGATGATCTTTTACAAGCAAATGACATAGCCATATCGGTAGCTAATTTTTGGAAAAGCGAAGTCTGATTTCCGGACACGGAAAGTAAGTTAAGTATCTGGAATCAACAAAGAAATATAAAAAAAGCTATTTTCATGCAAACTGTTATCAGAGTAGTTAAAGAATATCGATTGATGCTACCCAATTGGCTGATAGGTAAAATATTAGTGCAATCATTTTTGTGTTTGTGTTTGGAAATAAATACTAACAAGCTTTGGTTTGAATTCAGGGGACAACTGCAGAGCAAGATAATCGCTTTAGCGATAAAGAGAAAAAGCTGCTCAAGCAAATGAAATTCGACAATAGCCTTCAGAAGCAAGTAAGTAAATCCTTAGAAGAACAAAAATTGTTTCCTAAATTATTTCAGTAAGTAAGTAGGACTCGGGGGCCCCTTTTCATAATAAAGTACAAACTAATAGGCCTACTATTAGTAAATCAGCTGATCGCCCTTGGGGAATGTAAATCTAATGGAAATTACAAGTTACAAGTTGTAACTTGTAGTTTATTATGAAATGGGCCCCAGTTAAAAAAAATTGAATTTGTCATATGTAAGTTTTCAAAAGAAGTAGGCTAAGTAGTTGAATTAACTTATTTGAAAAGCTCCTAATTTCCTAGCTTCCTAAAATTATTTCTTTCGTGTGTCTTGAGTGTCTTCTATGGCCTACCTAGTGTACTTCTTCTAAGCTAAGCTCAGAGCTCATATCCCTTTATTTTACAAATTAATCTTCAAACTAGTTTTTGTTTGACTAGTTCTACACAGGATTGGGTGTATGTTTTAGGTTGACATGTCCAAAGTGAAACTGGATGTCATCAAGCCTTGGATTGCACAAAAAATCAATGACATGCTAAACATCGAAGACGATGTTGTTGTCAACTTTGTATTCAACCAGCTGGAAACCAAAGTAGGTGTAGTTGAAGTGAAATGCTATTTTGACTGAACTTTCTTTGCTGTAACTTGGTTAACTATTATCCATTCACAAAATTTAGGCTGTTTGAGGAGAAGCAATCCCATCCCCTCCACCTCACCATAACTTTAAAACATTAGCCGACAGCTGATCACCTGATATAAAGATTAAGCTAAAAAGGAACCAAGGAAACCTTCCCCTTAAACTGCCTAAATTTTGTGATCGGACTATTGGAGGTCCTTCCCTGTTAAGGAATGTGATAGGGAACTTATAATGTAGGTTAACTAATTATTTAAGTAAGGCCTACATGTATTTTTTCCCACAAATAGTTATCATTGATGTAGTACAAACTTCAATTCTTTCCAAAACCAAACGCAATTGTAATTTCCTTGTAAATAGTAGAAGCTTTGATTATCTTGGGGCGGGATCAGCAGAAGTAAATGGAAGTTGAATATTGAAGTAGACATATTCCTGGTGTCTACCGGTCACAAAAGTCCCTGAAAAGTCACTGATTCTATTGAAGGATCACGGAAGTCACCGAAAGTCACCCATGGTGTGTATAGGACCATAGATAGGTCTTGTCAAGAGTGTCTATTCGTGTTGTATTTGTATTTATTGTTTCGCTGGGTTTATCGGACTTTCGTGGCAGTATTAAAGGTGTCATCCATTACTGCTCAGTATTTTTCAATGGAATCTGTTTTCTGATTCAGCGTTTTTAATAATCGTAGCACTTTTACCTATTGAAAATAAATTTATAACTCGTTAACTCGTAAAGCTTGATTTGATCCACACATGATATAACACCTCTTCTCATAGGCCTATATTTGAATTTATATATCTGTAGGCAAAATTTGCTTCGTAAAATATTAGTGTGTTATTTAGGTTAAACTTTAACTTTGTACAGATAAAATGATGAATGCCAATCTGAGTACTCTATGTTAAATACAGAAGACTCCCTCTTATCTGGACACCTTTTAACAGGACATTGGTTTAACTGGTCTACACTCGGCAGAAGTGACATCTCTTTATCGAGATAATTTTTATCAGCACATCAGTTTAACCGGACTAGATCGGCAGGAAGTGGGCGGAACTGAAACGACTGTTCTCATGGGAAAGATTTGAGACCAGTGATTACGTGTCTAAATACAATGCTCCCCTAAATTTAAGTCAAATACTGTATAGAGTATGCATTTAAACGGTCCGTTTTAACGAGATTTTGGGGGCGTCAGTTTAACCGCAAAACCCGTTATACGGACTAGACTCGGTCAATAGAAGTCCGGATAAGAGGGAGTCTACTGTAAGTTTGGTTATCATAATTGTAGTTTCATCTCAGTATCACCAACATGACATCACAAAGTCATGACCTATATTGGTACATCCAAGTCCTCTAGTATTAAAAGCCATTATTTGTATAATATACTACCCTTAATGAGTATGGAGTAAATCTACATATTTAAACTCGGCTTTAGATATTACCTTGGATTTGAAGCTCAAATTGTAACCAGAATTATTTTTAGTACAAACTTAATATGAAACATAATAGCTACTGAGTACCCATTCTAGGAATTAGGTCACCAAAAAATTCATATCTTGATCCTGGGCAATACTTTTGGGAAACAGTATTTTGTATTTCTTTTTGGCTTTCAATAGACAAAATCTGCAGATAAAGTTAGGCATTTGCCAAGGTCAATGATTTTTGTTCGTATCGATCCATATTTAAATTCTGAATCAGACAACCGGCGTAGTTCATGCCGGCCCAAAATGATTGTACGCTCTCAGTTATTTATCGTATTCAAGTCTGATAAGTAAACGAAATCAGGGAACCGCTCGTGCTTTTTACGAAATGGAATAGTCATTGACTGAAAATATCCTAGCGCTGTTTCCATAGCAGGCAACCACTGAGCTAGAAATTGTATAACCGGAGGTAGCACTGGCACGGCAACTCTGCTAAAAAATCGAGACGCTGTAAAATGTTGTTATGTTGGCTCTAACTAGAAGAATCAACCAGCTAGATGTCACACGCACACAATAAATACACGATGTCTTCATTTTTGTAACCCTGACGATGCCGTATTTAAGGCGAAACATGTAGGTTGTTAACCTCAATCAACATTTTGATTACTTGACGAGTGTATTGTACCATTATTCCCCTAGTACATATGGCAGCCAACGACTCTCAATTCTATCATTCAGTGCTACCTTCGGTTGTAGCTCTAGCTCTAGTTCAGTGCGAGCAACTATTGCCGCCATTGCTGGTATCGACTTATCCTTGATCACTACTACTGACGTTAAACGTTAGAGTGTTTTGTTATTTATATTTTATTTTAGAATTTAGTCATGTCTTCAGCTTACTGTCGACCGGGTTAGGTTACAATTCAGTGAGACTTTGAGGAATAGGCCTAGAACTTATCTCATCTCAAGTGTTAAAATTTGAAATTATTACACGTGTGTAAGTCTAAAAAGACCATTGCATGCTACACCAACAGTCACGACCTTGTCAGTTTTAAAATTTTCTGAGAGTACCCTACAAGACAAATGACATTGGAGTGTTGAAGATTTAAATAAATACGGATAAAATTATATAGCAATGAAAGATTGTTTCTCAGAGAGTGTTGTCTGTGTTTTAGTTCTATTTTTTCAATTAGCCTAGGTCAGACTATTCCATTTTAAATAAGAAATATTAGGCTTAATGATTAAGATCCAGTAAGGTTAGAAAAAGCTCGAGCTCATAAATTTTATAAAAAAGCTCGGCTTGGCTAAATGTTGAAAATCACTATTTGCACACCCCTGTAAAAAATCACGAATTTTTTACGGGATGGTGGAAACTGGGCTTAGCTAAGACCTATTTTCCATAAAATGTCCCCAGAATGTTTCCCAGAAAAACTCAAAATCTTTGACAATCCGTGGTAACTTACTGTCCCAATTGATTTGGATAGTTGGAGTTCTACTGTATTATCTGTGGGTAATATACGTCGTAGGCCTAGTTAGGATCAAGTAGCCTATGTTACATACAAATTAGATAAAGTGGTAGTCGTAATGGAAAAGGATAAGGTTTTTTTGTTTAGTGATTAACTGACCATTTGGAATTTTGTCTCAATGATTGCAGTTCCCTGATCCAAAAAAGATGCAAATCAATTTGACTGGATTCCTCAACGGGAAAAATGCCCGTGCATTCATGGGGGAGTTATGGGAACTGCTAGTGTCTGCCCAGGAGTCGGTCAGCGGCATACCCGAGCAGTTCATGGAAAAGAAGAAAGAAGAGATAAAAAAGAGAATGGTATGGTACATTTGTCTGTCATTTTATCATTTCCATATTTAACTGTATAGTATATGCATTTGCACACACAATTGTCAATTTAACTTTTATTTACATTTAATTTCATGCCACTGAGGATGCAACATAGACCTTAAAAGCGTAGGTTTCAAGAATGTTTGTTAAAATAGCTTACCTGAATTTAAGAGTATTTTAATAGCAGGGTGTCTACCAACCGGGAAATCCGGGGAAACCGGGAATTGTACTTAAATTTTTACTGGCCATGAAATGTACGGGAATTGTCCTTAAATGCCAGACTATGTCCTTAAATTTTTAATGAGCCATAATTTTATTGATCGCTAGTTGGTTAGGAGCACATAAAAGGTTTATCAGATGTTTGTTTACATTTTCATAATTTATTACTAGAGTAATAAATGCAATAAAAATCCCATTAACAATCTCAAACCCATTAATATTTTATCACGACAATCAAGTGTCAAGTCAAGTACTTCCAAGAACTGTTGACTCAGCAGCTAGCTCATAAAAGTTGTATCACTTTTATTCCTTTACAACTTCTTTTTTTATTACTAGGGTAATTATTATTAGATCTCAAACCTATTTTATCGTGAAAATAATAGCTTTATAATGGCTGTTAAATTTCACTTATAAAACTGTTTATGGTTTCATATTAAACATGTAAATAATCTACAGGCTTATTTTGTAAGTTAACCCCTTTTTTATGGACATTTTATCTTTCAATTGATCCACAAGCATTGTTGTTTGCATTAATGTTTTATCACTATGTAGGCCTGCTTGGTTTCAAATTATGTCATGTCTTATATTGTTGGCTATTCAGGTTTCAATGTTTTTTGTTTCCCATATATTTATTTATTGAGTTGTATGCTTTAAGCAATCAAAATCTTATGAACTAGAATGATGATAGTGACTTTGCTGCTATTATAACCTCATTGTTTGTTACTCAGTTTATATAGGCCCTCCTAAATAATTAGGTCTAGGCCTGGGTATTTTAATTCTTGAAAGAGCTGTAAAATATATTAAGAAAATGTAATTGAGCCTAAGATAAACAACTAATGATTGCTATGTGTCGATATTAACTTTGCAAATGAAAATACAATAATCTTACTCTGTGCTTATTGCTTATTAATAGCCGCTTACCATACCTTGATTTTGTACTAAGAATTGAGTAACAATATGCATTAAAGATTTTTTTTCAAAAGTAGTCGAGAACCTATCGTTGTGCCAGGGCGAATAATCATGCCAAATTAATCGGCCTGGATCGGATAAGCTATGTTATGAAGTTTACGTGACTGATGGAGATATTTGTCGCTATCGCAGGAGACAATGATTGCGTTTCTCTGTTACACTATAAAAGCTTTACCTAAAGTGTAAGTAGGCCTATGTTTGTGTACTTTCAATAAATGTCTATTTTGTAATTTTTAACTCTTATCTATTATTATTTACTTTTCTCTCTGGTACATCTACAGTGAATAACAAGATTAATACAGTTTGACAAATCAGGAAAATTATTCGGTAGGCCTAATGACACCGACAAAGGTTACGGCAAAGTGTCCTTTAATGTACGGGAATTGTCCATGAATTTTTTATCCAGAATGTAGTAGACACCCTGAATAGTTCACTGCTCTGATACAAGAAATACAACACAATTTACACTACAATTATACAACACAAACATTATGATATTTCACCGTCATTCTATTGATAGTAAAATATTCAAATTTGTATGTCATTGTCCTAACACTACTAAACTAGGATGGTAACAGGTACAAAAAGCGGGGTACAAGGATAATTCTTATGTGATCCCAGTTAAGACATTGTTGATGATAGTATTCTTTGTTGAATTAGGTGTGTGCCTATTACAGTATTGAGTTGTGGATTTTTTTTCTTGTGCCGAAATATACTTTACCAGTTCAGCTATGCCTGCTATCCTTACCAAAGTGATTTAAATATACTCTTTAGTCATGATAGGACCATGACACTTTTTTAGCTTAGTATCTAAATGTGAATGTTAAGATTTTGCTTCAAGTTAAATGCTAAACTCAGAAACACCCATTTACCTCAGAATCGTAATGCAAACCAATTCTTTGCATGAAACTTTTTTCATTACGGCGTAGCTTATTTCTTGTCGTCACTGAAACTTATTGTTTAAGTCCCTTAAGTGTGATTATTTGCTTTAGGAGGAAGCAGAAAAACAGCAAGAAAATGCTAAGAAGTCGCTTGATAAAAAGGATAAAGACAGAGACAGAAAAAGAGACCGAAGCAGAAGCCGTAGCAGCAGGTATGATGTAGTAACTAGGGATGTGTCGATACCAAAATTTATCGATTCTCGATACCGATACCGATACAAGGAAAATCGATTCTCGATACCGATACCATCGAAGTATATGTATAATACCTGACTTACCTGTAAGGAGTAAAATTTTTCTCTCCAGTCATATATCTCAGATTTATTAAATTGAAACACCTTTTAAAATACAGGACTTTAAAATAAAAAAACAAACATTAACTAAGCACTTTTTATTTATCTCTGGTTATAACAAAAAATTAAGAGAGATATGGATGGCTTTAAGGCATCGCCTACTTAATGTTTTTGTTAAGAAAAACCAACATTTTTATCCTCTCTGGGTCCAGACGATTTCTTTTCTGGTCACAAATTGCCCCTGCTGTACTGAATAGTCTTTCACTGAAAACAGTGGAAGGGGGCACACACAAATACTTAAGAGCTAGATTTTTAAGGCGGGAATGTGGGCTGGAAAACCAATAGGACCCTAGCTTATCAGCCTTTTTTGGGTCCAATGTCCTCTCTTTCAGGTACTGTTCTAGTTCCTCTTGACACCCTACTTCAGACTGCTCACAGGTGGACGTAGATGGCAGCTTGAAAATCTCAGAGTAGTGCGCCCAGAAACCTTTAAAACAGATAACAATTTTCTTTAGGCCTACTAATTGTGTTAAGCAACCGTACATTGAGCAAAAGAAATTCAATAACATTTAGCATTTAACCATTTTACTTTTGGTGTTCACAAAAAAAGTGGTTTTCTTAAAATGAAAATAGATTTTAAACTTGATTATGAAAGTGCAAATTTCCAAATTTAATAATCTAAATCGGTTATTCAATTTAATTTTTAAAACCAATGAATAACAGATACCGTATTGACAGCCTAAGTTTTAGCTTCATTATATCCAAAGGCTTTTTTGTACTTTACAAAATATTTACAAAGAGAAAAATAGGGCCTAGGGTAGAAACATAATTTATTGACCCACCTTGTTTCTTGGCTGAGTTGTTGCTAGACTCACAATCAACAACAGGAGGATTGACATTGACATTGGTACATTCTTCACCTTCATCCATTTCTGAGACGATCTTTGCTTTCGCCCTTTCCATCATGTCATTATCTTTGAATGGAATCTGCTTAAACCGGGCCCGGGGTCTAGCAAAGTTGAACATGCTAGAGCTAAGTTGCTTTCGACAGACGGAAACCTCCTTTTTATAGAGGCAATGATATCATTCTTTAGGCCCATTAGCCCTGAACCTGTCACATCCTGACTTTCGATCACAGATGAAACAGTATGAATCAAAGGAATGATCTGAAAAAAGAACAAGTTTTATGTTAGAAAATTGATTAATATAAAGCTGGGTAAAATGTTTATCAAAAGAACTGTAAGATCCATATTCTATAGTAGGCCATAATTTTAATCATTGTGATATTGTAGCAAGTACCTATGCATAAAATTACCGAATTTGCTATGGTCGAGGAAAATTTGATATTAGCCTACAGGTCATTTAGCAGCATAGCTATTAGTTACATATGTTTTGTTTTATTTAGTTTATTTAATTATTAGCGATTCAAAAAAGTATGTTAATAATTTATGGACTGAGATGGACCTTAGATTATTTAGTAGGCCAACTTATTTGTCCTGCAAACTGCATGTTGGTCAGTGAAAGTCAATCCCAAAATTAATAAAAAAGGAAAATAACAAGTGCTCTGTATGGTAACACTTCAGGAACAGTAAGGTTGATACATCAGCAGCACATTATGAGCCCTGTGCTGGTGTTAGATAAAAAAATAAAGTAACAGTAGGTCATTAAAAAAATTACTGATAGGCTATTTTAAATTAGGCCTGGGTGGACTTTCATATGCAGGACTACTATTTCATATAAACAGGACTCCATAACCATTTCCTTATATAGGTTAGGTTAGGTTAGGTTATCGATAACATGAGTAGCCTATTGTAAGTATCTTAACTAACCTAACCTAACTTAGGCGTAACTATTCCAGAACCTGGATTAGGAATGGTTGGTTATGGAGTCCCGTATATGAAAGTCCACCCTTGGGCCTAGAGAAGGAAAAACAAAAATTAAACTTACTTCAGATATGGTTGATGATTCCTTGCTTAGCTGAAGAGTAGCTGTTTCGAATATTTCTAGCAGTTGTACGGCAAATGACATGGTTCGCCAATCATCCGGTGTCATCTCAACTGATAGGCTTATGTCTGGTTTATTTGAAAGAAGAGCTATTGCGTCTTTTTGCTCAAGCAGCCTTTTCAACATGTAAAAACTACTGTTCCATCGTGTGGGCTCGTCTTGGATCATACGGTGTGCAGGTAATCCAAGTTGCAACTGAACATTTTTCAGTACTTTGGTTGCTTTGGATGAGTGCTTGAAGCAGCCCACTAGTTTTCTAGATTTTTTCAAAAGATTAGTAACTTTTAGATTGTCTAAAACACCATCTTTAATGACAAGTTGCAACGTATGTGCAACACAAGGAAAGGCTTCATAATTACTCCTGTTAAGAGCAGCAGTAATATCGGAACCATTGTCCCTAACAACGCCAACTACCTTCTCTCTAATCCCCCACTCCTCAAAGACCTTGTCCAGAAATTTGAGAATATTGTCTCCTGTGTGAGATATTTCTGGAAAGGGAATGACATCCAAGCATCTGTGAATGAGAATCAGGGAGTTGCTCTCTTCCTTGTAAAAATGGGCAGTAACTGCCATAAAATCTGCCTGGGCTACAGAGGTCCACATATCCGTGGTGACAGCAACGAACTTTACTTCCTTTAGTTCCTCTTTTACCTCATCTACTAGTTTATTATACACATCATATAAAATCTTGTTTGAAAAAGATTTTCTGGAAGGTACAGTATATCTCGGTTCTAAATGTTTTATAAGACGTAAAAACCCTAAGTTTTCAACAATGGAAAACGGTTGCATGTCTATGCAAATCATCTCCGCAATGAGCTTGGTGATTGCTGTTGACCTCTCATCATTTGCAGCAAACTTTGAAATACGGTCAAAAGCTCCTTGAAGGGTAATTTGTTTCTTTCCTCTACATTTAATAACTTTAGGATAAAGAGATGATGTAGGCCTACCTTGTCCTTGAGTCTCAAAACAATCAAGAGAGCTTGGCGAAACAAGGCTTAAATTTCCTGATGATGTTCCTGATATTGGGGACAATGCACTAAGTGGCTGATCAGCTGCTGAATTTGGCCTCTCTACAGTCTCAACACTGATACTGTCATCACTGACATTTACACCCAGCCAAGCCGGGTCATCTGGATCGTCATATTCAGTGGAATCACTTTGGCCTACAGACGGAATAAGAGTAGGCCTAGATTCAGTTGCTGGTTTAAAGAATGTTAGCAAATTACTACTAGTACTGGTTCCTGGTACAGAGGGATTAGTTTCCCTGGGTTTTATAACTTGCGATGTAGGCCTACTGTTACTAGGCCTATTTGTTGTGTTTACAGTTACACTACCGGTACTTCCAAGATTTTTGCTGTGGGTTTTTAAATGCTTTAAAAGGTTACTTGTAGTTTTACTACTACCGCCTCTCGACACGAGTTTATCGCAAAAGTTGCATCTAGCAAACTTGTCATCATTTACATCTATTTTAAAGTGTTTCCAAACTGGGGAAGCCATCACTATAAACGACTGACGGTAACAAATTACACAATGCACTCACACTCAATTCCAACTACCTCCATCCAATACTGCAGACCAGACTGCTGTGTGTATCCACACGACCAAAAAAATAATCCCGCTTGCCGGGTCGAGAAATCCCGTTTAATCCCGCTTTTGAATGATGGAAAATCCTATTTTATCCCGCATGTTTTTGTTCAATCCTGAGTGTTATATTTGACGTACCATGTTTAAATAGTTGTTTAAACATTGCTATTATCTTTTGATACAGTAGTTTAATCAATTGGAGTTCGTTTTTCCCTCAAATTAAATAGAGAAAAATAAAAATATACGTCATAGCTGAAAATGCCGTTTTATCCCGCATCACATTTTAATCCCACTCGAGGTCTAAAACTCCCGTTTTCGGGATAATAATCCCGAGAATGGAAACACTGTCAGACTGCTACGTATGATAGCAGTGTTCCCACTCCCCCACTGTCGTACTAGACAGGCAAAATTATCGTATACATTTAATTAAGTGTTTTCAAAGCGTACAAGATAACCCGGCAATGATGGCAGAAACATATTTTAAATACTAAAACACCACTAATAAACCTTAGATTTAATGAAAATAATGTATAAATCAGGATTTGGAACACCTAAACAATAATTCATTTGCGGAAATTATCATACAACTGGGAACACTGAACAGCAGCGTCCGACCACGTACTGTAAAACACGAACGTTGATTGGCCGACATTGCCACGCAGCGTCCCATCTCGACCAATGAGAAACCTTCTTACTTCTTAAGGTTTGTTTTGTTTGAACACCCGGGTTCTGTTTCAAGTTGAGTCTACAAAATGGCCGACTACTTTATAATTGTTATTTTAATGAAAGTAATGCAATTTTTCTGCCAAAAATTCCACTTTTAAAAGTTATTGTTTTGTCTCTATTTATTGGTATCGGTATCGACTTCGGCAGGTCGATTCTCGATACCGATTCCAAAGTTCAAGTATCGGTGGTATCGAGAATCGGTATCGAGAATCGACTCATCCCTAGTAGTAACTGTTATTTTTGGTTAGGTGACAAGAGTGTAATTTGTTCATTAGGTTGGCCTAATAAACAACCACAGTAGGCCTATTACTTTAAAATAGAAGGAAAGAGAAAGTTCAAGGAAGATATTACCAGTATAAAACAAAATTGTAATACCCATCAGACATTTTGTGCAAATTTACATATACACATAGCTGGGATTTTGATTGAATTGCTGATGATTTTGTTCTTGTTTATTTGTGTTACCTTATTGCAATTGCAGAGCCAGACCGTGAGTTAACCCTTTTAAGGCCAAGCACCAAAACGGTGCCCATCCCTCAAAGGCCAGCTATTTTATTGTGGTTTGTCTCAGAAAGGCCAGGTGATTTTCCTGCTGGCGAGCATAGTTTTGGTTAAATATTCATAACAGCTTTATTTTTTATCATAAACCAATAATTTTTTTTTACTTGTTGGAAATCGAATAGGCTTTCAGTAAATATACAAATTACCCACAAATTCTACAAATCAAAAAAAAATTTCAAAATTAATATTTTTTTATTTTTTTTTATAAATTTTATGAATTAATATTTTTTTATTTTTTTTTATAAATTTTATGTTTGGCCTTCACTTAAAAATATTCTACCTACATATATCTTTTGTAACCATACATATATATAAACTATAGTTAATTATTAGTAAAATTACAAATTTTGGAGTGCCTACCTTTATTTGAAGTTGAGTTATGGCGCATCATATGAACGGTTACACCACACTGATTTTAATCCAAAATGCGAAATGCAAGCGAATGCCCTAACACTTCCATATCACTTGTAGTTCCATTATTTCAGTCAAAATAAATTACAGCTATACATAATAAAAACAAAAAATAAGAGTTAATCAACCTAACCTAACTTATATACACACACAAAAATGATATACATCTTCAACGCCGACAGGCTTATTTACAGCGGTGTTGTCCAAAACATAGGGATGGATACCCATTTTGCACCTTTTGCAACAATATCTGGATCTTTTCCTTGGCCCACCATTTGCTGTACTGATAGGGCTACACACTGAGCAATTTTTCTCCAACCTACCAGGTAAATGGTCGATTCCATAGTCGATTCCATCTCCACCTCCTCCCACAGGCGCAACAACTTGTCGAGTTTCAAACCACTCCTCAGCTAATTGATCAATAATGTCAGCTGTGTAATCGTATCTATTCAGGATCTTACCAGCATTATTCTCTTTATACAATATATAAGTGTTCAAAACCATTCGAGCCATGATGTTAAACGTTACTTTACGCCAGTACTTCAGAGTTCTGTGTTCATCTAGATAGCAGTACACCATCTGATCCGAAGTGTCAATACCACCCATAAACATATTGTATTTATCTATGACCTCTGGCTTTTTATTAGTAATAAAATCATTCTGCCTTTTCTTTGTTTTCTCCACTGTTTTTGCCTTAAACTTAGTTGACAGCAAAAGAACCGGGTTTTTCTGGGTCTCCTTTTCTCGGTAACTGAGCATAAGGATATTTTCATTTTCATTTCTTACGTAGCACTGCTGACCAACTTTTAATTTCTCTTTTATTATGTATGGGATTTCCTGCCTGTTCCTCCTTATGGTCCCAGTAATATATGTTTCTTTTGAGAACAGAAACCTAGCTAATGGTATGGACAAAAAGAAATTGTCGACGAAAATGTGATATCCCTTATTTAGGTAGTTTCATTTCTAGTAATTTAACTACAACTTTATGGGCCAAACCTTCTTGCTTGTTTTCATTCAGTTCATTTTCTTTTTTCCCTTTATAACAGAAAAAGTCCAAACAATAGTTACTGACAGAATCGCACATCATCCATAATTTGATTCCCCACCTATGATGATGTTTGTTGGGCAAGTACTGTGTCATCATTGTGTGGCTTTTTGTACCAATCAAACTCTCGTCTATGGACAATTCTTGATGTGGTACATAATAATGTCGGAAAACTCTATTGGCATGTTCTACTAACAGAGAGAATCTAGAGCATGGGTCATAATTTGGTTCTCCTGGCTTAGGGAGGACACTTGAATCGGTTACATGGAAGAATCGTAAAATAATTTCGAAGCTGTTACGACTGAACATCTCTCTAAACCAGGGTAAGGATTGGCTTTTACTTTTGGTTCTCCAATAACTGTCAATTGTAGGCCTTTTGTTTAGGCCCATGTTCAGTATGACTGCTATAAAAGCCTTGATTTCAACCAATGTAACTGGTGACCACTTTATGGAAGAATTTGGGAATTTCTCCAAGTACCTAGTAGAATACAAGTTTGTCATAGTAACAAAGGTTGTCAGTAATGTCTCAGTAAACAAAAGGTAGAAATAATCAATAGGCCTAGCATTGTTAGCAAGGCAATGCCTAGGTCCTGGTTGTTCATAAAATCCATGCGCTGTGACATTACCTAGATAATTTTCTTCCGAAACGATTTTCCACCCTGCATTTGCGTCTGACTCAAATATAGGCCATTGGACATTGTCGACATCCTTTTCATCATTTACCACACGCCTTTGCCTACCTCTAGGCCTAGTTTCAAAACTTCCACCACCACTATTTTGATCATTACCTAGGTTAGATGATCGCGGTCTGCCCCTAGGCCTAGGACTACCTGAGGAAGTTGATGGCCCTGGATCATCAATATCTTCGTCCTCCTCTTCTTCTACCTCATGATCCTATGGATTGAAATCGGGGTCCTCATCCGTATCATCGGCTAGATCAAAATCACTATCCTCCTCACCAGAATCATTTTCTCTCAGTTCATTTTCAACAGTAGGACACAAGTCACCATCATCAATAAAAGTAACACCACTTGTAATAATGTTCTGTATTAGAGTACCTTCACTTGTGGGTGACTTTTCACAATGTCTTTTACTCATAATTTATGTTAAAATGTACAAACAACAATCTTGTTAAAGGTACAATCAACAATAATAAACATTACCAAAACGCACAACGAAATGTAAACAATACCTCACTCACGACGGAAGACCACGGCACGGAGTAAGCAAGCTGATTTCGCCAGCAAAATGCACAGAAATAAAAAAAATTATGAAAACGGCAATCTTTGCTGTTATTCATGTAGTCTGGAAATCCCCCTACACAACAATACCAAGTTTTGTGGCGTTTGGAAAAATTAAACAGCCAGTAAATGGAAAAAAAGGCGGGTGCCTATTACGGCCGTCGGCCGCGAACGTGACTTTGCCCGCGGGGGGCTATTACGGCCGCCGGCCGTGAACACATTTTACCCGCGGGTGCCTATTACGGCCGTCGGCCTTAAAAGGGTTAAGTATAGTGAAGTGAACTTGTTCCTTGAATCAGTTGGTCATTTGTGCTGAATTTGAGCTTTTATCAATATTTTGCTTAAAAATGATTGGTCAAACTGTTTGGTTTGTTAAAATTTGTCTCGAGACTCAAGAGCTTTTACAAAACATTTTTATATTTATTTAATCTAATTTTTGTTTATTTTTGATCAGGAAAAGGAGCAGATCCCGAGAGAGGGATAGGGATCGTGATAGAGATCGTCACCGTGACAGAGATCGCAGGGATAGAGATAAGAAGGACAGAGACAGGGAGTCAAAACGATCTCGTTCCAAGTCTCGTTCCAGGTAATTATACTTAGCCTGTAGCCAGAATAAATTACCCCTGTCGCAGCAAACCTGCAGACTAAGCGAATTTCCATTTGCCTAATTTGATTTTCAATAAAATCTATTAAAAATATGAATTCAGCCACTGACTGGACTGGACTGAGTCACACAGTTAGAGTGGACTGGACTTGAGTTTCAGGTTCGAGTTGTACATTCAACTCTATTTAGGTTGCTTCCTGTCTGTATTTCCATAATTTGTACCAAAGTCAAATAAAGAACTGTGAATTAAATAAAATAATCTTGTAACTTGTCCAACTAATATTAATGTTATTAATAATCAACATCAGATAAGGAAAGGATAGTTTTAGGGTAGTGTAATAATTTTGTTGAGTCCAAATAAATCATTATATTTGATCCAGTCATTATTAAGCTTGCATTCTGTCTTCTGCTTGAATATGGCGGAGAATTGGTGTCAATATTTGACTCTATCGGTACCAACATTTCACCATCGATTCTCCGTCCCGGTCCTTTTCCCAAGAACCGGTGGAACCTACATTTGAGATTAAGTACCGTCCCATCTATTAATATTAATAGTTAAGTGTGCCAAGATTACTGCTTTTAGATCTACAGTAGCCTACTTGATTTGATAAGTTTAATAACTGGTTTTCAGGCATGATAAAAAAGAAAGAGAGCAATCAGTTAAAAAAGAAAATGAAAGTGAACCGAAACTGGACAATGGAAAAGACCGATCACACAGTCCTGAAGCAGAGGTGGAGAAAGAAAAGAAACTGTGAGTACACTCTGTTGCTGATAATTTAGAGCTAATTTACAAATACTGTTCCACTTTTATGATAAAAAACTAGGGATGGTCAAGTCTCGAAATTTCGGGAAATTTTAAATCTCGTTACACGAGACTAGATTTCTTTTTGGCCGAGATTTTTATCGAGACGAGAATAAAAAAAAAAAAAAAAAAATTAAAAACACCTGCAGAAAGTCAATGCAATACCCGGGTGCAATACAGGAGCGTGTTGTAGTTGCATTTCCTTTGCGAAGGCGTTCTTATTTAATTAATTCTTTAAATGTAAATATTACTTTAATTATTTTAATAATATTACTTTAATAACATTTGAGAAGCAGAGCCGTCTTTATAAAATGCGAGGCCTGGGGCAAGACATAATTGCGAGGCCTTGTTTAACCAAGCTCACCACTTGTAAAATCGTCATTTTAAGTACTTTGACGAAAAAAAATTAATATTTTACACTCTGAAAATGGGCGTGAATATTATTGCTAATTACACATATTATTGTTCCAATTCCAAAGTGGATATCATAAATATTGCACACGAAATTCTTTACAATCATTAATAAAAAAAATTAACACTTCTCCTTTACTGTGGATTGTGAATTGAATTAACACTTTGTAAATTAAACAAAGTGGCGGGATGACAATAATTAATAGTAAATGCTTATAGGCTATCTTGTTTATTTATTTTTTTGTCAAGTTAGGATTATTGTGTTTTCGGCAGTTGGTCTGTGAAGGGTGTTTTAAAGTTAAAAAAATATTACATGAATAATTGTCAATGAGATACTTGCAAATTCGTCATTTCTTTTACACTCTGTAAATGGCCGTTAATATCATAGCTAATTGCACATATTATTGTTCCAATTCCAAAGTGAATATCATAAATATTGTCCACGAAGTTCTTTACAATAATTAATAAAAAAATGAACACTTCTCTTCACTGTGGATTGTCGTCCCGTCACTTTGTAAAAATAGTAAATGCTCATAGGCTAACTTGTTTATGTACTTTTTGTCAATATAGGTTTATTGTGTTTTTGTCAGTTGGTCTGTAATGGGGGGTTTAAAGGTAAAAAAATATTACCTATAATTGTCAATGAGTTTTTAATAATAAATTAAAAGAGGTAGTATCATTACAGTGTAATTGATTCACAGTATTACTTTTTACTTTAATGACAAATATTGTTATAGGTTTATGTTTATTGCGAAATGCGAGTAGTTTACGTAGGGGTGTGCGATGCATCGAAAATGGATCGAAATTTCGATTCGATTCGAATCGCGATTCGATTCAGTGGTGGTCAAAAAACGATTCGATTCATGAGGGAGTCAGTATCCATATACGAAAAACGCCTGCAGAAAGTCAATGCAATACCCGCAATACAGGAGCGCGTTGCTGTTGCGTTTCCTTTACGAAGGCGTTCTTATTTAATACATTCTTTGCATTAAATATAACTTTAATTGTTTTATATTTTTTTGTTTTGACATTGCAAATGATGAGAGGTTTTGTTTTTGTCTTGATGTAAGCAGTGTGAAAAATATTTTACTACTGTAAACCTAGCCAAAACAAGATAGGTTACTCCAAAATCATTTTAAAAATAAATCTGAAAAATTGTTACTTAATACTTAACTAGTAAGATTAATGTTATAGACTGATACATTTGGTATTTTTGTTAGGGGTCTGCCGATCCCCGAATGTTCGGGCAAAAGAAAAAAAAGAACAATTTATTTCCAATGAAACACTCTTATATTATTAGTGTTTGCTATTATATCTATTATTACAGAGGAATTAAAATGTTCAAATGAGAATTAAAGATTAAGTTGGCTCACGACCTAAAGACACAACAGAGCAATTGCCGCACTGCCACTAGCCAGAGCCAGTCTAGTCGTCTACTGACAAGAGTGACAAGACAAAAGCCGTGACGCAACACTAACAGTGCAAAGAAAACAAAGTCAAAAGAATAGAAAGACTATTTATCCAGACATACTAGTTTAATCATTATTGTTTATTCCATACCTAATAAAAAATATAGTTTAGTATTTTACATAATAATATAAACATAAGAAATATCTGATAATAGTGAACAGATCTGTATCTTGGTTAGCTGGGATTAAAAAAATATATTTCTAAGATCCAATACAATATTTACAACTCACAAATTACAATGAATTAATTTCTTTGAAAATGGTCTGTAACAGTTTTGTGTTTTTGAATAAAGAAATATATTTTTTTGTCTCTATTTCCTTGTTTCATCACTTGAATTGTGTCAGCAATTGAAGCAACTGGGTAGCAACCGGGTTGTGTAAGAGGGGAGGGGGAGGGTCTATGACCTTGAATGCACACATCGTTGCCCGGGCCTGGCGGTTGAGAGTGGTTCATTGTTTTTGTTGACATACTACTACCCTTCCTTCAGAGAAAAAGACCCTGCTGTTCCAAAAACATTTTGGGTAGTTTAAAAACATTGACCTGTTGTCCAAGGGCACTAGAAGTTAGCATTTAACTTTCTTATCTCTTAATTTAATATTATTTTAATCTTCTATATATTATTTAAGAGTTAGGTACTTTTCGGGTACCTAATTAATTGTGATATTGTTTGGCTTTATTTTATGGATTTTAAATTCTTTTCATTCATTAGCTATCAAAATCAGTTGTTTTAGGATTTTAATCTCGTGCAGTAGGTCTATACTACTGTATGACATGATATGCATTTCTTACAGTCCTTAATAATTATACCATAAACAATGTTTGTGTGTTATTTACTGTTTTTGAGTTTTATAGTAAATTAGTTTACACAATATCTTTTCTTCAATGAGTTCTCCACTTGTCATGTTGCTTAGCCTATTACTATTTTAGGCCCTATAAAAATAATGCCTATGTAAAGCTGTAGGCATACTCATGCCAATAATAGATAATTCTTTATTTATGATGATGTAACAAATAATGTAAGTGTGAGGTTATTATACTAAGGAAGTTAGGAGGTAGGGAATGAATGATACATATTGCATGGTGGAAACATATTATTTTTATTTTCTTCTTGCTTGCAGTCCTGAAGCCGTTCACAGGCCCTAAACTTGTGATATGTAAATTTATTTCTTAATGGTCTTTTTATATTAAGTTCCATTCAAATTTGTTGTAATTTAGCTACCGGTACCTATTTAGTTATTTAAACAGTTATTAAAATGAGAATGAATGTCTTGATAAAAAAAATTATTTTCTTTCTTGCAGTTGAGCCAATTCCAAGTAAAAATTATGAAATAGAGAAGTAAAGCAGCTCACTGGTATTTCCAGCAATACAGGTTATTCTAATCCCTATGATTGAAAATAAATATTTTTTCACCTAAAATTCTTATGTTAAGTATGAATAGGCCTACCACATCAACAAAAATTTGTATTACACAAATGTGGTAAATTTTAATTATTGTTAATCCACTCAATTGACAATTATGAATAGAAAAATACCGTATTGCTTCAAATCGAGTTGCATCGAATCGAATCGAAAATCTTTTGAATCGAATCGTTGCTTCGAATCGAAAATTTTTTGCTGCTTCGCACACCCCTAGTTTACAGTCAGTCTTATCCACGCTGATTATCCATTCAATCCAGTAAACATTTACATCTGTAAATAAATTTAACTTAATTAATCATGCAATAGAACTTTAATGGCACCAGTAAGAGTAAGCGTATGACTCACTCACATTCACCGGGGTGGCTCGGTGGCTGCCGCGAGGCTCGGGTTCCGTCATGGGTTCCGTCATCGCCGCCGAGCTGTCAAACGTTGTTTGATATTCTTTTGTGTTTTAAATGTCGTTCGTAGGTTTTTAATCGATACAACAATTGATATAGGCTAATTCATAATAAATAAGACATATTTTAGAGGCACATGTATCTGTATGTCCTTTATTTTTTTATTTTCGTTCCAAAACATTAACTTATTTCTAGCGATAGTAAGGCCTCGCCGGGTAGGCCTCGCCGGGCAGGCCTCGCTGCGCGAGGCCTTCTCCGGCGCGAGGCCTGGAGCGGCCGCTCCACCCTAAGGCGCTGTTGAGAAGTTTTGTTAAGTGTAAGCAGAGTGAGGAATGTTTTATTACTATAAAAAGTCAAAAAAAGTACCTAACTATTTTATAAAATTTAATATTGCTTTTATTTTATGATTTATTTTATTTTAGGATAAGTTTAACTCTATCCTAACTGATATCACTATGTTTCCTAATCGTAGGCATTTTTAATAAATTAGGCGTGATTAATAAAAAAATATTATGCTGATGTTTTTTAATAAACGATTGTAAATATTCTTGCCTATTATCATTATTTTTGTATTTAAACAGTCATCTAACAATGTTACAAAATCAGGTAAAAATTTTGAACGTGCATTTCCTGTTGTGTATGAGAAGGGAAATCCCGTCTCGATCTCGTCTCGAAATTTTATGAGAAATAATAAATCTCGTCTCGTCTCGTCTCGAACTAAAAATCCAATCTCGTCCATCCCTATAAAAAACATGTTGAAAAAGTTTGTAATTGTCAAGTCATCAAACAAGCTTAGGCCACAACTGTACAAATGACAAGTAAGCTTGATTTATTAGGCTAAATTTTGTTGCATCGCTCCGTGATCGTGGAGATGTCGCCGGTATGGCAGATGACCATGATGTCTCTGCGACTGCAAGAGATGTTCATGATGGTTTCGTCAACCCAGGGAGTTGTTCGTGGTTATGCCGCTATTGAGCAGTTAACAATGACACTTTGACCGCAAAACATGTTGACAATGGCGCAAATTATAGTCATGATGAAGTTCAGATTAGGGGTGTGTGAATATTCAAACTTCAAACTTTTTCTAATTGAATATGGGGATATTCGATATGATTTTAAATTTCTAAATAGGTTCGAAGTTTGAATCAAATATTTAAATGATCTACCTTTTAAAAGTAGGTTGCCTAATCAATAATTATTGGTCCAAATCAAATCATTATCTATAGGCTATTGTTTTATAGTTCTAAAAAGTAAACGAAATAAAATATAAAGTCCAACTACGAGTTTACTCTCACAAATACGTAAGATGAGCAGAATAGAATACAACTGACACGAGTGTGGCAGCTGCATAATAAAGTTCGCACAGTGTTGCCACACTCTACACAGGCTGCTGCTGCCATTTCATTTCAATCAGCCAGAGCCGACCATGGTCCATGAAGGTTTCAACTACTGAATGGGTTGAATCCGAATCTCTTTGGTACCAGTTCTGAAATATTACTAAACATTCTCGATACTGATTTCATATAAAATCTTGTATTTTTAAGGAAGTTGCTTATATGTTGTTCTGTTCGAATCATCCACGTTTAAATTCTGAATCAGACAACCGGCGTAGTTCATGCCGGCCCAAAATTATGATGCGCTCTCAGTTATTTATCGTATCCAAGTCTGATTAGTAAACGGAATCAGGGAACCACTCTTGCTTTTTACACAACAAAATAGCCGTACACTGAAAACATTCAAATGGAGGTGGCACTGGCACGGCAACTTTTCTAGGAAGTAGTGACGCTGTAAAATGTTGTTATGTTGGTTTGGTACCACTAAAAAAAAAACCAGCTCATTGGCTGTTGGCATAATTACAATCCCACAATCCCATAGTTCTAAAGTACTATTTCCCCCCCCCCCTCCCCCCTAGTACATTGATCTCAATTGAATGTAAAAACTCTTCCATTGAATACTCAATATTCTGAATAGTAAAAAAAAAATTTGATTCGAACCTAAAAATCACTATTCGCACAACCTCTAGTTCAGATAGGTGCCTAGATTACAAATTTATGAATACTTAAGCTAATACAGTACTGATTTTCTACTGGTTACCATATTGAGTCTTAAAAGCTTTTAATAACTGAAGTGATGGTCAGTTTATGGTTGGCTGGCGTTGTTTGTTGTTGTATGGTAAAATTTATGTTTTAAGGTTCATTTGCACCAAATATGAATTTTTTGTTTCATACATATTTTACCCATTCTTGGTTTTTATAGAACAGTGCCACAAGGGATTGCAAATTGATTTTGTTTGTCATTTGCTTTCTGAAAGAATGTTTACTCAAGGTTTTTAAAACAAGCTCTCTTTTGCATGTGGAAAAACTCGTCATTATGAATAAAGTAGTTTGTCTTAAGTTCCAGTTTTAAGTACGTTCTATTTGTGGGTAAGTCCTAATGAGTGACTTGTTTCAGGAAGCTGGAAGTGACGGATGTGCAGGCCAAGCTGTTCAAGTACGCAGGTCTAGAAGGTGTAGAGGCTTCTGTAAAGAAGGAACGCAGCAGGAGTAGAGCTTCATCAACATCATCTAAACACTCAAACAAGGAGAAAGAAGGGTATGTGCAAAAAATACAATCATTTGGTAAAACAATAAAATTTAGAGGTATGGGAGTCAGAGATTTGTGATCAAGCCTAGCTTTTACAAAAAGCTAGAGCCTCGGGCTTTTTTAGCTAAGTGCTTTATGTCATGAGTTTTACATGATGCCATATAATAAGTTGATTGGTTACAAATCACAACAATCACAACAAAATTTAAAGGGTATGGCATAGTCGGAAGCCTTTTGCGATGGTTTGAATCATATCTTAAAGACCGCACCTTAGCTGTCAAGTTTGCAGGAGCCAAGTCAATCCCTTTCCCTGCGGTTTCTGGAGTCCCCCAGGGTTCTCATCTGGGTCCATTTCTTTTCAATATATTTGTTAACGATGTTGTGGATAGTATCGACTCTCAGTGCTTGCTGTTTGCTGACGATATCAAGGTTTTCAAGTGTATAAAATCTCAGGCAGACTGTTCCACCCTTCAACAATGTTTGCACTCAATCGACAACTGGTGCCTGGATAACAGCATGGATATCAATGTTTCAAAGTCTGCAGTGGTATCTTATCACCGTACCGAGCAGCGTATTGAATTCTTCTACACGATGAATAATGCCATCCTGCCACGGAAGAGTGCCATACGAGACCTAGGAGTTTTAATGTCATACGATTTAAACCCAGACCTGCACATAAATACAATCTGCAATAAAGCCTCTAAAGCTCTAGGTTTTGTCATTAGATGTGGTAGATACGGACTTGATGTTAATGCTCTGAGAACTCTTTACATGACTCAGGTTAGGCCTGTGCTGGAATATGGCAGCTTGATATGGAATCCACATCAAATCAGCCACATATCAAGAGTAGAAAAAATTCAGAATCGCTTTCTTCGCTCTATTGGCGTCAAGTTGGGCCATGAATTCTATACAGTGCCGATTGAAGATATTCGCATCGATATGGGCCTTCCTCGACTGAGTGACCGTAGACAATCTGCAGACCTGTCTTTCCTCTGGAAGTTGTTGAACGGCGAAGTTGATGCTCCAGAAATACTTCGCCTAATTAATTTCCACGTTCCTCGACACTTCAAGCACATTCAACTCTTCAACAAAGCTTCTTTTTCTACAAACTACGCCTTCCACAGTACAATTCCACGGCTCCACAGAATTGGAAATCAAGCATGCCAACATGTAGATGTGTTCACCTGCAAACTGAAAGCCATAAAAAATATCATAGTTTAAGTTGTTATTGTTATTGTTATGTTGTTGATGAGAAATTGTCCTGAGTTCACTGTCCGGAATTTGCTGCCTTGTTTGTTGTTTGCACTTTCACATAAATTTGATTGCACTGTTAAAATTTTTCACTTAGTTTACGTCACTGTTATTATATTGTTGTCATTTTTTTCTTTTTTTTCTTGTCTGTCAAATATATTTATATTTTTGCTTATTATTGTTATTATATTGTAATATTTATCAATTGTTATCTAGTTTTGGTAATCGTTATTTTTCTCAAAAAATGTTTATGCTTGTTAACTAGGATTTATAATACGCATGATCCAATTTTTGTTAAAGCATTTTTGGACAATCCTGTTGGTGTCATTTTTTCATGTTAGCAATCTTTTTTTTCAGCTAGATGAATCTGAATCTGACTTATATATATTTATAAATATTTTATTGTAACTTGCCCTCATGTATTATCGATTGTAAAAATGGTGTTTACCGTATGATAAATAAATAAATAAATAAATCTTTCCTTCAAAGTTAAATGTTATTAAATTGCGTTTTCAGATTAGATTGAAATGAGTAGCCTAGATTAAATATAAACTAATATAAGCTAAAAGAATCAAAAGTACTTAAAAGTACAAATAAACATACTAAACATATATTTTTTAACAATTTTCAACATTAAAGAAAGGCTACTGTTCTAACTATTTTAAGCGTCTTTACCAAATAATGTCATACCATTAAATCATTTACTTCATATTTTAATCATTTTTAACAGCATGAAAAACTATATGCCCTTATCATTCAGTCAAAAGCAATAAATATATTCATTACAGTGCAAGATCAGTATACTACTTGTTTTAATTACCTCAATCCATACATATTTCTTAAACAAACTTCAAGAATAATGGTTTTCTTAAAATATCTTAGTAAATTGGCTCCATGTAGTGTGTTAATAGTTCTCCATCTAATCATTCCTGTGCCATCAGTTCTCAGGCAAAAGAAAAGAACGGTTCCCCTGAGAAGAAAGAGAAGAGAAGGAACTCGCGGTCTTCTTCGAGCTCGTCAGTTTCATCACAGGTAGAGAAGAAAACAAATAACCACAAGAGTTCTAGATCTCGCTCTCGTTCCCCCCCTCCTAGCAGCAAACCTGCGCGGCGCAGTCGATCCTCAAGCTCTTCTGATGAGTCTGGTTAGTTCTGTAAATAGCATTAATTGTATAATATGTGTCCATTGAAAAAGTATACAGTACATCTCATTACCATGTCAAAGCTGTAGCCAGTTTTAGGTTAAAAATGAATGCAATTGAATTAAGTCTTTAGTAGACTGCACTGATATCAAGTACTGGTTTTTGCTTCCCCCCCCCCCCCCCCCCCCTATACGGTATAATGGAGAAAGTATTGTTTTTGGCAACATTTTCGCGTTTGAGTTTTGGATGGTTAGACCTATATCCGTTTTTGGACCTTTGGAACCCAAGAAGGACCAACCAACTGCAAACTTTCCTGGTCCCGACTTCAGTAATCACACACTATTTGTTGCTTATACAATTAATTTGTCCAATTATTAAAAAGAATTGGATTCAGCTGGTAAAATATTATAGTCAAAATTATGGTGCATATGTGTTTGTTTAAAACAATTTATTCAGTAGGCATTTATAATTTTATCGTGTATCTCAACCTAAGGTAAATGATTCAGTGTGAAAAATGCAAAAATATTTTAGCTATTGGCAAACGTCAGGCATGAAAAAGATCATCTACTCCACCCTATTCAAACCTGGTACCTAAATATTTTATTTCAGTAGATTTTTTTATGAGATATTAACTTTTGAAAATGGTTATGTTTCAGAAAAAGGACGGAAGAAGAACGATGATTTTGAAATCCGGAAGAAAGAAGACAGCGTACAGAAGAAGCGTCAGTACAGAAGCAACAAAGATGATTCATCCAGTGATTCCGACCATGGAAAGTCACGAAAGGTAAACAGTGATTGAAATACATTTGAGATATTGTATCTACAAGTTCATTGGTTGCCTTTAAATTGGCCTACCTAGTTGATGTCGTGATAGAAAATCATTTTGTTTTTTTCCATTTATTTTTAATAACAAACCACTATCGTACTTCAAGTCCCAATAGGTGTAAAGTACTAACTAGTGTTGATTTGCGCTTTATGACAAGTAATATTTCAATACTAGAGAGATGGGGTTACTACATTTAAATTGATTATTAGATGTATTTCCTTTTCTCCATATTTAATTTTCATTTTCCCCTATTATCAAATGTTCTTATTTGTATTTTAAAGATTACCACTAGTAGATTGCACTAGTAGATTTAACTACTAATTTGTTGGTTTATTATTCTGTATGTGGTTGCAGGATCGCGGTCGCAGGTCAGTTTCCAGACAGAGGTCACGAGATCGCAGAGACAGATCACGTTCCCGCAGGCGCGACAGTCGCAGGCGATCTCGGTCTAGAAGGAGAGACAGGTCGGGTATATCTTCTTTAAATATTGACATGCAAGGTCCAAAAATAATCTTTATAGCCATCCCAGATAAATGCATTATTTTTCCGATTGTTTAGTGTTGTAAACAAGATATTTATACCTCAATTATGTTTTCACTCTGAGGAAATCTTTATTAGTAATTTTCATTTCATTATGCCTAGGAAGATAGAAGTTAATTTATATGGGGCAAAATGATGTTGAGCTCTTTACCAACTTATTCCAGTAAATTTTTCAAAATCTTGTCTTTCTTTTCAAAAGCATTTGCATCTTGAAACAATTGGTTAACTTTTTTAATGTATCCCAACAAATTCCAAAGTTTGATGGAGTATTTTTTTTTTTTAGTCAAAGTAAGAAATACTGAGTAAATGTTGTTAATCAGACCGGTAGGCCGTATGTGTAATTTATGATTTATGTTTACTAGTTTCTTATTTTGTCTTTAAAAAACGTCATTTTAAACTCATTTTGGAGTCACTATTTATTATTTCCTGACCTTTGCTGTCCATTGAATGTAATCAAATCTCTTTTTAACGATTATTTGTTGCTTTTTTGTGTAACATCCACCCTTGTCACATAAATCTTACTGTTTGGGACTTACAGTGAAGACAGATTCTGTCACCGTACAATGTTATTATCCTCATATTTTACAGATTTTCAGTTTCAAGGTTTTTGTGCCAATTGTAATATTTTTTATTACAGGATAACAAGACATGTTTGTCACTTCACGACAATAATAGATAACTGGTACCGTAGATAGGAAGAGAGTATAGAAACCCTTCTCTAGTAGACACTTCTATAGTTGGAGATTGAAAATGAAACTGTCAATGAAAACCTATGGAATAACCAATTGACAAGATTTTTTATAACTAGTGATGTTACTCTCTTAGTCGTCGTAAACATTGGGACAATTTTAATGTGTCTTAAACTTGTTTTAAGGGAGCAATTAAAATTTATCCGTATCCTACAGTTAATTTTTCATCCAGGTACTTTCAAAATGTCTTAATTTAAAATCAAAATGAACTTATTATATTTTACATTAATAGGGTGCTGCAGTAAAATAGTTCTCAAGAACTTGGACGGTTTTCATATCAAATTTTAAGTGATGTCCCTAAAAATCACTCTTCATATAGCCTAGTACAATTTTCCTGACTTTAAAAAAAGAAAATAATAAACTGATTGGAAAATTAAGTTATTAAATTATTTTAGTTGCTAAAATGGAGGATGTAAATATAATTTAAGTATATATTATCACAACTTATTGTGCGAACTTAACATGATTTTCAGAGTGGGATAAGTGGTAAGTATGTTCTTCATTATTGTAATGTCAGATAGGAAATAAATTATACTTAACCAGCATTTTACTGTGCATTTACTATGAAATAAAATCTTATATTTAAAATGTATATAACTTTAATGAAAAGACATAGGCCTATGATGGAACTTGGTTTTTTTTCTTTACTATTAGTATTCATAATACAGTGGGAATTTTTGCACTGAACATATTTTACTTTCTTTATATAATTTTTCTTTTAAATTAAATCATATAAGAAATGCATTTAAAACAATATAAAATTGAGCCTAAATTTGGCTGCAAGTTCTTAACTAATCCTGAAACTAATTCTTGAGTCTCAATAGGCCAATCATCGGTTTATGCAACTGTTATTTGTGATGTATAAAAGTTTTTCAAACCGCAGAATTGAGTTGGATGGTGGTACGCCCCGCTAGCCGTTTGCTCGCAGATTTTTCTCGCCATTGCTCCATCAACCATGGTCCCAGCTTCTTCTCTGCTCTTTTGGGACCTTCTAGAACTTCTAGAATTTCCAGAACTTCTAGACCTTCAAGAACTTCTAGACCGTCTCTTGCTGAGGCCCCTTCAGAACTTCTAGAACTGCAAATCCTTCGAGATCTCATCCTGGAGCCAGGACGTCAACAATCGCAGGATCGCCTTGGCTCAGTGCGCGAACTGCCACAAACTTGCGCTAACTTGTCCCTACGTGTCGAGCTCGATGGCAACAGCTTTTGTCATCGTTAAGTCTGAGTATGGTGCTACCTCCGTCTTCAGGATTGGTAAGACCAAATATTTCATGAAGACATTTGTTTTAAATGACTTTGTTTTCTCACACTATTTTTACAGGAATACTCGTCACCGAAGCCATCATTGTTGTTTCAGGTATGTTTTTTAATGCTAATGATTTTCATTTCTACAGTTCCCCTCCTGGATTATCACTGTAAGTCCCAAACAGAAATTTTGTTCTTGTTATGTTTTGTCGAGCATTATCTATAGCATTATATATATTGTTGAGTTCCCAGTAATGAGCAAATGAACTTTGGAGGCATTTTGAAATGTTTCTGAGGTTTATTCAGTGTAAGTATCTCTGTTTTGTTTTTTGTTTTATTTTTTGATAGGATTTAAAAATGATACACATTGGAAGTGTTTGCCTTGAATTCCAGTGTAATGCTGAAGTATCCGTGAAATTTAAAACAAGGTAAATGGCTTTTTTACCAGGATTTTAGATAATAGAAAATGGTAATTTTGCCCCAAATTCAAAGACAAGCCTTATAAATTTCCAACACATTAAACTGTTAGTTGTAGACTTAATCTATTATAAAATTTGCAGCACAGTATGGTGTCAAGAGATATGGCTTTAAACATTTTGTTTGATTTTTGTTTAGTTCTAAAACTTTTTCATTTACCAACTGAAGGGGGTTAAATTACATTGCTGGACAAGAATGCCTAATTTTTTTGTCCACTGTTGCATAAATTTACTATTTCTTTGGCATGCCATTCATATTAAAGCCTATGATACTTAAGAATTGCCATAAAATTAGTTGGTTCTCACACAATTGACTTATTATATTTTGTTATATTTTACAGGTAAGCCATTTTTTTATGTGAGATAAGAGTTCAGCTAGCGTACCTAAAATTATTCTAGGGCATCCTACTCAGGACATTTCCCTTCAATATAATCTCTGAAGAAATCTTTTATTGGGACAAAATATTAGTGTTAAGTTTTGTGACCGTTATTGTGTATCTGTTCTCTGCTCTAATTTTCCCAGGTAAGCTAGCTGATCTCTATCCCTCTTCAAAACAATTCCTAATTGTATCTGGTATATACTCAGCAACACTTGAATACAACCAAACACTTTCTCCTATATTTGAATTAAATTTGTGTTTACGTTTTACATGGGCTTATACGTTTGTAAATAGTTTTTGTTGTCAAGCTTTAATTTTTTATATAGGTCGAGTCCTAGGAGGAGGTCAGGTACCCGAGAAAGGTCCAGCCGCTACAGGCCAAGCCGCAGATCTCTGGAGCGGGAGAGAGAACGCGAGAGGGAACGAGAGCGACAACGTGAGAGAGAGCGAAGAGAACGGGAACGTGAGAGGGAAAGAGAGAGGCGAGAGCGAGAGAGAAGGAGATCACCCAGAAGAAGGTAATACTTTGGATCGGGGTGGACATTGTTGTATGCATATAAATGCTTTTACTATAGATTGGTTCCAATCGATTTATTTAAAATTTATATTATATGCACGTGGAGATTTAATTTCAAAAGCTGAAGATTTTTGATCTTTTGAAATTTAGATACTGTAGAGTATTGATATCCTAAACCAGCCCTGGAAGGTCAGATAACATAGAAAATAATTCTGAAACCTATGGTAAACATTTTAGGAATCAAAATGAATAAAGTGTCTCCGTACTCAAACCTATTTAAGACTTAATGTTCATAATCTTTTATTGAATCCACAAACTATCATCATGATTAGTGTAAAAAATAACTGACAAAAAACACTAGTACTGTAACCAAAACATAGGGTACAGCAATACACTTCCACTTTGCACATGCACAGCCTGTGCAGCACAGGTCTATGTTCGTACTTTGTCTAGGAAGGGTATTAGAAAGGGATGCTGATATGATGGAATGACTGTAGTAGGCTATATGCATTAGGCAGAGTACTAAAACAATTTAGAAAGTACAGATAACTAAACTGTAAAGAGCAGGTATTCTTCCAAATCCAGGCGGAGGTGGTACAAGATTTCATTTTAACGCACACCCTACAGTGTACTGGCAGTCAAACCAAACGGAAATAGTACTTAACTTCACAGCACGTGTTGGTGTACAACTAAAGTTTGGATGAACCAGACTATACTGTATTTAAAGTATTTATTATCTTTCAATCTATAATCTATATATATAATACGCTAAGCCAATTTTTGTGAACAGAACTCCTCCCTCATTTTTGGACCAATTTTGATTATTAAAGTGTCAAAAAAATTGCCCTGATCTGTAGTTTTGCAAAGTCTTTTTCGTTTTTTTTTTTTAATCTTTATTAGTTTGGGCAGGATCTTCCATCAAAGTTGGATTTTCTCCCATAAGATTAACATGGGAGAATCTAAATATTTAATTGGAAACTTTGTCTCCACTAATTTGAGAGCACGGCTGGGCGTAGAAACTTGGTAGAGGTGTCCAAAGAAAGGTCTTGGTCTGTAGATGATTTATCAAAAGAAAACGAAGTAAATTCCCTTAGGGCTCTGCCCCAGAAGCCTTTAAAGATCCTCCACAGATTTGTTTACATTTTGGCCATGTGGATAATACTTTTTAATGAAACAGCTGTTAATTTTTAAATATTGTAATTTAAACAATACACATTTATTGGGAGTCACTAAATTGTCCAATAGCTATTTACATTACAAGAGTAGTAAGAGCGTTTTTACATCACGCAGGTGAATGTTGTGCAACGAGCGAAGGCGAGCTGCATAATTCACCGAAGTGATGTAAACACGCTCTTGCGTAACGTGTAACGTACAAGATTTTACCTGACCCGACAATATTCAGGAGGTTACGAGCAATATGCTTCATTATCAATTTTAACTCATCTTCTAACAGTAACGTTCATTTACAAACAAAAGCTAGGTTAGGAAAATTCTTCAAATCATAACAATAAAATTCAAACACACAGCTGATTTCTAGCGTTGAACGTCGTTGGAGCTCCATAGAGGTATATTTTTTAAGTTATCCACTCAATGTTATTTAAATGGGTTTCATTACATCACCCAGTGAGTTTTTTCAACTTTACATCACTCGAGAAGTAAGGAAGTTGTATACATCACGCTTGGGATAGGGAAGTTTAACATGGCGGGTTAGGTAAAAGAAGTAACATTTGTAATGCTATTTTCCGATTTTAAAATGTATAATGCCATGTTTTGTACTACAACGTTCCATTATGATATCAGTGGAAAATCCTTTTATCACAGTAACTCTTACAATTATTTCTTATTGAACTATCTTATATCTATTTTAAGGGTCGGTGTCTGCCTTTTTCACCACTTTTGCCTATATTTTATCATATTATTCTAGACAAATCAAATCAAATCAAAATCTGTTTTATTTCCAGAAATTATTTACAACATATACATATACAAAATACGAACAATAGTCCCGCATAGGCCGTATAAGACCTGTGCGCGGGACGAGCTCTATTACAAATAGAAATATTCTTTAAAATTAAAACTAAATTAATCAAAATTACAATTAAATTACAATTAAGCTATGAGACAGCTACAGGAACAGTTAATGCTAAGTAAAAGGTAGTCGAGTGATTGGAGTTGCAGTTACTGATCTCTGTTATCTGTACGCTAAATATTGTTTGGTGTACTTGTGTATTAATTATTGTTAGGTATTGTATACTGAACTGATAAGTGTCTCAGACTGATCGAGCCCAATCTCCGACAGCCAACTGCTTACCGAACGTTTATAAACTGGAAGAGATACCTGTAGATCTCTAATCTCTGATGGTATATTCCTATACAAAAAATTTGCAATATAAAAAGCATTGGTAAGGTTTGCAGATTTGAAAACTCGGGGTACCTGCATACCTACATTTACAGCTCCTCTGGTGGGATAGTTATGTGTGATTGGCGTCACTATCAAATCTTGATTGGAATAGGTATATACAAGTAAAGTTTTAATAAAAAGTTGACGCACCGAAAGTAATTGAGTGTTTTTGAATAATAAATTTGTAGGGAAACGCCTGTTGAATTGAAAAGCTATTTTAATAATAATTAGTTTTTGTATGACAAACAGTGGCTTTAAAATATTACTACTAGCTCCTCCCCATACTATAATTCCATATTGAAGTACTGATTGGACAAATGCATAGTATAACATTTTTATTTCATTAGCGTTAAGAATTTTGCGTACGTTTCTAAAAACATAAATTAATTTCCTAAGTTTTGTCTTCAATTATTCAATATGGGGTTCCCATCTTAACCTACTATCCATAGACAAATCGCCATAGGTTCATGAGATTATTGTCATACATGTTACAACCATTTTATAATATTTGTGTAGAAATATGTGCATGATTTAGAAAGTTATTAAGCTGGAAAACTGCAATACACTGCAGACTTTTCACAAGGGTCACTTCGATGTATTCATTCAGCTTAGTGAAAACATAATATATAGATATGTATACAAATAAGAACTTAAACTCTTCAAAGAGAGCCTTTGAATGTTATAAGACTAACGAAAAGGGTTGTACATATTTACTAGCGCTGCTCAGCAACAAAAACCATTTAATTAAAAAAAATATATATATATTCATAAAGTGCACTGAGCAGCAGCCAAAAATAATCTCTGTAACTTACCCATATAGTTACAAATGCTCAAACTCGCATTGTGACATTTATAATTCGGCTCATATTTCTTCAACAGATAATTCATCTGCAGAAGAAGTTATTATTGTGCTCTTAGCATGTATAACGACATCCAAACACAGAAACCTTGCCTAAAATTGTACCTATCTTGACGAACCGTGGCCCACTCGGCCCACTGGGTTAGTAACATTATTGAAAATAACATGACATTTTTGCTGTAAAAAAATAGCACAATGAGTAAATACAGTACTATTTAAGCAGCTACTGTCATGACAGAAAGGTCATATTCCTTTTAATCTTCATTACACTGATGAAATCACGGAAGTGTTTAACTACAAAAGATCCACCAATACGATTTTAATACTATTTAAAGGTTCTTCCGAAGGAAGAGATACCACATAACATACTAATAATAACTCCGATGACGAGCGGTATGGGAAATATTTTATTCATTGAATGATCAACCATATTTGGTAACTATCGCAATTAATATCATTATTGTTTTTACACTTATTTCTCTTTAAACAAAAACAATGCTAAATGCTCAAAATATGTATAATTTCACTCAATTTATCGCAGTCAGATTAATCGGCGTAAGCTTTGAAAGTAACCGTCGATTTCGACGGGTTTCGCCTAGTAAATATCTAATTGTATTAGGAGAATTATGAAGGTGGATTACGTTTGGCATCACAGTATTATTTTTTTACAGAAGTCCAATTCCAAGACCTAGAGGTCGCCGTTCCAGATCTAACTCCAGAAGACGGTCTAGAACTCGTTCACCTGTAAGTATTTTAGCCAAAGTTCAATTCAAAAATAAAATAGTAGGCTACTTCATTTATCAAAAACATTTCAATTGCAGAAAAGTTATATTATCTAATCTCTTAAGCATTTTTTGTGCTACTGGGTACAACCGACATCTCAAGGCTCAGCAATTCTTTAGGGAATAAATGTTCAATCTGCCTATACTGGAGCCAAATCGAGATCAGTATAACCATATAGATATTTTCCATGTGTTTAAAGTGTATTGTGTAGGCATCTGAAAGCAGGGTTGGTACGGCCAGGGAAAACCTGGAAATGTCAGGGAATTTGGTTGGTTTGGAAAAGTCAGGGAATTATGGAAAAATTCTTGAATTTATCCTAAAAGACTACTTTTTTTACAGATATGGTACATTCTGCACCTAAACATGCTTTTACCAGGGTGATGACTAATGGCAAAAAGAACTACACAAGCACTGATGCACATTTTTATATCGATAGTTATTTATCGGTACGGGGGAGGAATCGATATGGACATAGTTTTAAACAAAATGTAGAAAAAGGAGGATAGCAGCTAGCTTACCTTGAAAGTGTGGTTAGGCCATAGAACAAGTAGAAAAACTACCCACACTTTCAAGGTAAGCTAGCTGCTATCCTCCTTTTTCTACATTTTAAAATCCTGGCCTAGAGCCTTTCCTTAAACAAAACTAACCTTATAGTTTGAAACAAGTTTTGTATTCGGGAGTGATTAAATAAGTTTTAACCCTAGGAGTGGCAGATCGACAGAAAATGTCGATTTCAAAATGTGCCGCTGGAGTGGCGGGCGACAGAATATGTCGATTTATGTAACGTTTTTTTCAGTTGCATGTTAAGCACATTTAAAGTCGGTGAAATGACATAACTCTTATACCAATGGAAAGATAAGATTCCGTAGTTTCATTTTATTATAAGAATGAACCTTATAACATAAATATATCGATCTTATAATGAGTTACATTTAAACGAAAAATACGCGCGAACGCCATGTTTTGTTGTGCAATCGTAAATGATGAGTCATTTCAAAAATAAATAGCAGACGTAATTTTTGTCTCTGACAAAAGCAAGTGGTACCACTGCAACAAGCATGAAGAAATATTTTATTCTGTATAAAGTATAACGTCATAATACATTCCAACAGCTGATAAACAATTTTTGTAAATAGCCTATTTTTACGTATTGTTCATGTGGCGGATCGACATAAAATGTTTATTTCTAAATCGCATATATATACAATGTGAAAAGTACAAAAACGTTGTTTTATATTCTCTCTTGTAGACGAAGGACAGTAGAATTCAATGTTGTTAGGCTGGTCACACAAATAGAAGCTTTTGATTTTTCAAAGCTAAAGGAACAGAACACTTGTCATCGTCTAACCTAAAATGGCGGCGTCGTCGTGAGTTTTTGTCCGATAACAAAGACGAAGTGTGGGTTTATCCCTAATTTTTAGGGGTCTGCGGGTCCCCGATTTTTTCGGGTCGGGTCGGGCCAGCGGAAGGCCCGAGAGACCGGGTCGGGTCAGAGATTTGTTCGGGCCAAGATCGGGTCGGGCCAAAAAAAATTATTATTGTTTTCAAAGTTATAATAAGTAATTTTCAAAGAAACACTCTTATATATATTATTACAGAGGAATTAAAATGTTAAAATTAGAATTAAATATTAAGTTTGCTCACGTTTAAGAACAAAGACACAACAGAGCAATTGCCTTACTGTCACTAGCCAGAGCCAGTTGTCTACTGACAAAACAAAAGCCGTGACTCAACAGTGCAAAGAAAACGAAGTCAAAAGAAAGACTATTTATCCAGAGGTCCCATTTTAATTATTTATTGTTTATTCCATACCTAGTTTAAAATATATTTTAGTATTTTATTTACATAATAAATTATAAACAAAAGAAATATCTGATATAGTGTACAGATCTGTATCTTGTTCTTTTATTTTCCTATTGTCCTTTTTGTCATTCAGTAACAAAACAAAACAACACTTCTGATCGTCTGGTTAGGCATTGTATGGTCACTATTTCATTTTTTTTTTTAAGTATCAAGTATCAGCAAGTCTACAAAGAGGTTAGGCCTAAATATTTTATAATTTTATTTTAAGAAAGTTTTCATCAGTAAAATTATTTTTTTCTTAGGTTAGATAGGGTTTCAAAAAAGATATTTCTAAGATCCAATACAATATTTACAAGACACAAACTACCATGAATTAATTTCTTTATAAATTATCTGTAACAGTTTTATATTTTTGAATAAAGAAAATATATCTTTTTGTCTCTACTTCCTTGTTTCGTTACTTGCATTTTGTCAGCAATTGGAACAACCAGGTGGTGTAATAGGGGCGGGGGAGGGGGAGGGTCTATGACCTTGAGTGTCCCGGCGGGTTGTGTAAGAGGGATGGGGAGGGGAGGGGAGGGGGAGGGTCTGTAACCTTGAGTGTCCCCGGGCCTGGCTGTGAGAGTGATTCATGGTTTTTTGTTTACATTCTACTACCCTTCCTTCTGAGAAAAAGACCCTACGGTTTCAAAAACATTGACTTACAGTATAAAAACATTGAGTTGTGTTGCTAATTAGGGCACTATAATGTCTCTGTTGTCTGCTTATGTTGCCAAATTAGCATTTAACTTTCTTTTCTCTTGATTTAATATAATTTTCTATATATTAAGAGTTCCTTTTTGGGTACCTAATAATTGTGATATTGTTTGACTTGAGTTTATGGATTTTTAATTTATTAGCTAAAATCAGTTGTTTTAGGATCTCTTGCAATACCTATAACTGTGCCTATAACTGTGTATCTATAACTGTGTACCTATGACATGATATGCAATTTTTACAGTCTTTACTATAACTATACCATAAACAATGTATGTGTGCTATTTTTACTGTTTTAGAGTTTTATAGTACCTAAATTAGTTTACACAATATCTTTTCTTCAATGAGTTCTTCACTTGTCATGTTGCTTAGTCAATTACTATTTTAGGCCCTATAAAAAATAATTCCTATGTAAAGCTGTAGGCCTACTAATGCCAATAATAGATAATTCTTTATTTATGATTATGTAACTAATAATGCTATTGTAAGTGTGAGGTTTTTGTACTTAGGAGGTTAGGAGGCAGGGAATGAATGATTCATATTGCATGGTGGAAACATAGAATTTTTATTTTCTTCTTGCTTGCAGTCTTGAAGCCAGTCCACAGGCCCTAAACTTGTGATAAGGTTAATTGATTTGTTTATGATCCTTTTATATTAAGTTCCATTACAAACTTGTTGTAATATAGCTGTTTAGATATTTCAACAGTTATGAAAATGGGAAAGAATGGCTTGATAAAAAAAAATTATTTTCTTCTTTCTTGCAGTTGAGGCAACTTCTAAGCTGTAAATAAGTTATGAACATGAAATAACATACATAAATACATTTTTTTCCCATATGTTATTTTCAAGTAATATTAAAAACACAGATAGGAGTTAAAAAAAATATAAAAAATCCGGTAATTAATAATTTTTGGCCCGACCCGATTTTGGCCCGAAACCCGAGGACCAAAATTATCGGCCCGACCCGAACCAAAAAAGTCTGACCCGCAGACCCCTACTAATTTTACATTGTAATGTTCGTTTTAGTTTATTATTTTGTATTAGGCGAAATATTTATGCATTATTTTGCATAAATATTTATACATGTGTGATCCAAAATAGGATAAAAAGTCAGTGAAGTTTTGTGGGCTATAACAGCTGATCAGTTGTTTTGTTTACATTTTTGCTTTTGTGAAAACCAAATATTATTTTACTTATCTTATTTAGTTATTCTTATATAGAATGATATTATTGGCTTAAAAAAAAGTATGGTTTTATCATATTGATATATTAGTAGAGGGCATTTGTGGATCTATCAACGTGTAGTTGAAGAATTTGACGTTTTCCAATTTTTCCGTATTATTGCTAGTAAGTCTATAAAAATAATTATTTTGTGTAAATTATGATATGTCTATGTAGAGGAATAAATTCTGAACAAAATGCATATTTTGAATTGTGCAATAAAAAATTACGTTACATGTGACACGTGTTTGCTTTTGAAATAAAATTTGATAAATTTATAAATTTTATTTTTTTTACTTTTTTCTAAAAATCTACCTTTCTAAAATTGGTTTGTATTACCATTTTTGAATTCTACTGACTATTACGAACAAAATGAATATACGGTTCAATAGTTTATCTCTGCATACTAATTTTATACAGATTTTTGAAGAACTCCCTTACAAATTCACCAAAATGAGCGTGCCACTCCACAAAGCACATACTGAAAATCGGTCTCGCCACTCCTAGGGTTAAATATTTACATTTTTTCTAATATTTCTTGACTTAGATTGGTCGATATCGTCTTGCGGTATACCTGGAAATTTGTTTTCCAAATTTAGTACCAACCCTGGAAAGGTAAGTATCATGTCCATGGCTAGCATTAGTGGCTCTGGTGTGATACAGTTGCTTGACTAGGTGCGAAGGGATGATGACAGGAGAGAGAGAGATCGGAGGAGGGAGAAGGAGTCCCCAAGAAGAAGGTCTCCAACTCCCAACTCCACCAAGGTCCAGGTCCCCTCAACTGCTCCTGTGTCCAAGTCCAATAGAGTAAGTAAACACTTTGTAACATCTTTGTGATGGTGAACCGAATTTTAAATGTGTCTGCTGGAGATTTACGTGGACAAAATGATGAGGAGACATTATAGACATTACATTGATTAAGAATTTAAATTTCAGATCAATAGACATTAAGTGTGTCTCTATTTTTACACTTACAACTTTTTGTACTAAAGTAAGTTTTGCATGATTGTTGATTTAAGATGTTTTGTGTTTAAGGTATCCAATAGCCTGTCACGTACTCCTTCGCCTTTCAAGAAGACTGATGAGAAAGAAAGAAGCGAAGAACCAGAAGATAGGAGGAGAGAAAAGAAACCATCGAATAATAGAGACAGGTAAAAACAGATTTTTATTTTTTAATCAAACAGTTCAATTCAAATCACTTGGTCAGTCTATGTATGAATCTAGTTATTTTGCACTTAGATCACAAAATGTGTTCACTGGTTCTGCCACAATCAGGCAGGTAATATTGGCAGTGTTGACAATTTTGAGATAATAAAAATTATCAAGTTTATTAGTTAAATTAGTTAATATAAAAAATCAATTATTATAAGTATTAGAATTGATTCAAAATAAAGTAAAGGATGGTAAGAATAGTTTTTCACAATATTTTTCATAATGTATTTTATGAAAATTGCACTTAGACTTGACGTTTGGATTTGAAAATAATTTAAGATACGTTTGGATAACAAAAATAACTTTGATTAGCAGGGCTTTGGTTTAACTAGGTTCTTTAAACGCTCCTTAACATACAAGTCTTACTTTTAAGCTAGTTCTTTTTTTACAGCAAGTTGTGGCCTGGTAATTTTAAATTTTAAAAGTGGAAACGTCATTTCAATGGCTAGTGGTTTTAAATATGTTTTGCAGCCATATTTATAATTTAAATGTGCTTGTTTTCAGATCATCTTCAGCAGAAAGTGAAGAGTCTCGTCGGGATGAGGAGAAGCCGCCAGTGAAGGCGAGGAGAGAAGACACTCAGGAACGTGACAGAGAGCGAGAACGGTAAGATCACATTTGTAATGCATTGTAATAGTACAGGCTGTTTAAAGTATAATGGTGCTTAACTAAACAAGTGGATTTTCAGTTTGCCATGATTAAAACCGCTGTCAACTCAACGCCAACAATGGAAAGAGAAACACCCTGTATATTTTCAGCTTTTCTACCCCCCCCCCCTGTGGATCATCTAAATCATAATTTTTCTGTACTGGAACACTGATGGAAAACAATATTTCCATAATATGCTGTAGAAGGATGTCTTATTTTAAACTGTAGCATATTTTATGCCACAAGATGCATTACAGTATGAACAACTAAGGGAAAAATTATAGTTTTAGGCTTTAGCCACCTCTGTTAGTGGCTCATTTAAACTTTTTTAATAGTTACAGCTAGTCCATCGTATAGATAGACGTCATTCCCAGTATCTAAAATTCAATTGTTGTAGGGTAACTATATTTTTGCAGGCTTTAACAATCGTTTTTGACAGCTAATATTGCTATTTTATAGTTTTATGTTAAAAAACTTCTTTTGTGGTTTAATTTGTTTTAATTACAAACTCCCTAACAGAACATTCTACTCAGTAAAATTAATAAGGCCAACTACACTCAATTTCAGTCAACTAACCTCTAACCTCCTAGAGCTGTCAAGATTTAAAGGGTGTTAGATCGCAATGATTTATTTCATTTTTTCAGATCTAAAGAGCGTAGCAAACCAGCTCCTCCTAAGAAACGTTCTGAGTCTCCTGTTAACTCTAAAAAAGAGGTAAGATATTAGTTTAATTTGTTAGATGGGTTCAGAGTGAGTAATTTTTTATATTATACATTTCATAAATCATAGTCAAACTTAAAACATAGGCCTACAACACTAGGAATTTTATTTGATCGTTTTACACTCCAACATAAAATACCATTTTTTTTAGGTACGAGAGAAAGAGAAAAAGAAAAAGAAGTCACATGATTCCTCAGATGAATCAGAGGAATCAGACACTGAAAAACCAAGAAAAGGCAGGAAACGGCGGGAATCCAGTTCCTCTCACGAAGAGTCAAAGAAAAAGAAAAAGCACAAACACGAGACTTCATCATCAGAGGAAGAGGAGGAGGAAGTGAAACCGAAAAAGAAGAAGCAAAAGAAGGAATCTTCATCAGAGGATGAAGAAGAGGAAGAGGTAAAATCAAAAAGAAGTAAAAAAAAGAAGAAACAGAAAACACCATCATCTTCTGAATCTGAGGTTTGCAAGCGACTAGTCATCTTCATTCCAGCATTGATTGAGATCCTTTGGATATTCATTGAGTAGTATAATCTTAAAGCTTGGCTTGTACTGATTTAAGTATTAGAACAAAGGAATGTCATCTCGCTTACCTTATCATATACCTAACCTGTAAAACATCCAGGTAGGCCATATTACACTTTAAACACACAATATTTCATCTCCAATGGGACTTTGAAAAAAGAAATATTGTGTGTTTTCTTTGTATACCTGGACATTCCAAGACAAGCTAGTTGCTACCCCTTTGCTCTAAAGATCACAATTCTGGCCTAGAGCCTTTCCTTAAACAAAACCATCCTGATAGCCTAGATATATAATTTTGGTGACAAAAGACAAATCAAATAGTTTTAATTCCCAGCTAAGTTTTCAAGTGGTTATATCAAAAGTAAAATCAAACATTTTCTAAAACTGAACCTAAAACATGCATTTTAGTACCGTACATGCATAGTGATGTTGAAGTTATATCAAGGACATTTTATTTAATCCATGTTAAAAACAAATTTTTAATGTAAATTGGATGAGCATAAGCTTAGTTTTTTGTATTAGTAAAGACAATGATTTTATTGTTTTTGTAGAAAATTGTATAACTAATCCAGACTAAGAGGATACCTAAGAGGGTAACCTAAACTAATCATATTGTTAACAGAAACAAATGTAACTAATAGAACTCACAGGTGATACAATAGACAAAGCTTTATTGTACATGACGCCTGATACAATAATTACAAAAGTAATTCCCAAGCTGGTACATGGTCAATTTATATCTAGGTTCCTTAATCTAATTATACCCTAACAAGAGTAAAAACTATTAAAATTTATCTTTAAAAAACGTCTGAATTTTGTAATACGCTTTCTGGCTCAAAGTCTCTTTCAGCTTATATGTAAAATTTTATTTTGATAAAGTTCTGTACGAATTAGGTAAATGATTGTAGATTTTTAATCCCATGTAAAGAGGCCCAGTTTCAAATTTTGTGTGCGTACAATTTGCATCAATCAGCGTTTTAACGCTCAACAAACTTAACTTTGCCAAGATAAAAATTAAACTAGAGTTTCATTATGATCTTCTTTTATCTCCAATAGTAATTGGAGAAAGCTGACACTTATTTTTTTTCTTTTTTAAGCATATAGTTTTGTTTTGTTGTAGGAAAGTGAGGTTGAGGAAAAGAAGAAGAAGAAAGATAAAAAACACAAAAAACATAAGAAGCACAAGAAACACAGGAAGCATAAGAAGCGCAAAGCTGACAGTGATGTAAGTTTATTATTTTTCTTTTGTAAATTTTATTTACAATAGTGTTATTCATGTAAAAAAATGTTCTCGCTCACTAATTTAGCGACCTGAAATCGTTTCGATACATATAATTGTTAGGACGGTTTGGTTTTAAGAAGGGACATCTTAATTTTTAATTCTGACACCCATGTCCAAGAATCGACACATCCCTACTTAAAACCAAACCGTCATACTACTGATTTTTGGACATAGGTATGGGAATCAAGAATCAAACATCAAGAGAACCCGCCATGTGCTGATCAGGCTATTGTGAAATTCATGCTTTTGCCACAATCGCGGATGACGGCAATAGAGTTTTCATGACCGCGGAGCACAACGATGTCCATTCAAACGTGGGAGATATTCATAATTTTGCTGCTATCTTGGGAGACATGGTTATGTTTCCATTATACAAGGAATATTCGTGATACAATCTCAAAAGACAATGATATTTCCAGTTTAAAATTTAATTGGATGGTCAGAATTATTTATTGCTTATTTAATTGTTTCTTTACTAAACACCTCATTACCCCAAAATTATTTTTATAAGGACGTAAACAAAGACAGGTATTGGTGTAGTATAACCATTGCATCTAAAAAATTCTTCAATATTGGTATCGGTATTGAGAATAGAGGATAGATTTTTCAGGTATCAGTTTCGAGGATCGATAAACTATGCTATTGACACATCTCTAGTTTTAAGATAGATCTGCAAGTGTAATTGGCAAACTAGGTAGTTGTTTTTGACCTACTAGATAACATATATAAAATGTTTAGCTGTAGATTTAATTCGTATAATTTAGAAGGACTCTTTTTAATGTAAAATTTCTAAAATAAAGTATAAAAGTGCTCATTGCTGTCTTATGTACACATTTGATGTATTTTTCACTTTATTAAAGTAACACCACTTATCACAGTACTAACAAAGTATGTTCAACATTTATAGGAATCTGACAACGCTTCGGACCCAGACGATCAAGTGAACAAATTGCGGGAAAAAGCTCTCAAGTCCATGAAAAAGAGCAGAGAAGCTACCAGTGAGAACAGTGATAGCAGTCAGTGAGGACACTTTGTTTGTGTTTAGTGAACTTAACACTTTCTATACTTGTTTTAATGTTAAATGTGTTTTAATTTGAAATTACTATGTTTGGAAGATGCAAATGCATTCTTAAATTAACATAAATATATATAAGTGGATATAAGTGTAATTCGTTAGATTTATTTGATTTTTTTGTATTATTTGAACAAAAGCTTGTGTACCTTTTAAGGATTTCAAACTATGGTTTGCTGGCTAAAATCCTCTAAATGAGACATAATTTACACTAGTGTGTACTCTTAGATCACTGTCTCATGCAATGTTTGGAGTACACAAGCTTGTTAATGTTAACAGAATGTTAGGCATTTCAAAGGTTGGTTTCCTGGATCTTTTGCTAAAGATTGAACTATTAACAGGGACTTTTGTTGAATAGCTTACCAGTAAGGGTGTTTTTGTCAGTACAGTATAGCATATACACATTTATTGTTCTGTTAGTTTACTCAAAAAACTGATTCCTTTATTTTTTTAATTGTGTTGACTTGTGAATGTATTTCTTTGAATAAATCTATGCTCAGAGGTAGTCACTTCCTTATTTTTCTTTTAAATATTTTTCCTAACAGATTAAGGGTGATAATATCAAAAAATTATTATGGTTATTACTATAATAAAGGTTGATTGATAAGAAAGCTCTTTAATGGTTGGATTGGGAAGTTATCCTTGTAATGAAATTTGATAATAACCATGGTACTTGAAAATGAATTAGAAAGCAAGAAACAAAAAAACCTAAATATAACAGTCAAGTCATGATACAACATGCAAATACTATAACAAGTTGGGGTCTTTGAATTGGCTTTGAGAACATCAGATTAGAAATATCGCTTTAAAAAACTCATCTAGTTTATAAAAAGGGTGGATAGTTAATCCTCTGTAAAAAGTAGTCTTAGGCCAGCCAGCCGGTGCTGCAGGCCTTAAACAAATACCTAAAATCAACGTGGTGAGAGGTGGAATTTAGTTTGTTGAAAAGTGTTATACGTATGATTTCAAAAGAATGGTTCACCTTACATGGTACGTTTCCATTGCTACAAATTTGTGTAGGGCAAATCTCCGAATTTGTAGGAATGGAAGCAGCTTGGAGCCCAAGCGCTGGTGGGACTTTGGTGCCTGCCGACTGCGTGACAAAAACATATACCCGTTTGGAATGCAAATGGCCAGGCACATGTGCCTGCTACTCGTGCATGTGCGATGTGCAGGTCCTCCGAACTACGATTGCAACGAACTTTAAATTTAAAACCCCTAAAGGACGAAGGCATTTGCAGGAGATATCATCCAAACCCATAAAAAGGCACATCTATAGGATAAGAGTTTTAGATTTATACCAAATATGCCTAGAAAAATTATTTAGTGATTGATATGATCAATACAAAATTAAGAAAATTATTTAAACATTATAAAGCAGTGAATAGATTGGTAGATTTCTTCAATTTCGTATAGAGGATCAACTGTAGGATCAATTCTTATCTGAAATGTAGCTCTTCAAAGCTACAACATGGCTTTGCACACTACATGTATATGAATCTTGATATTGTTGATTTAGATATCCTGTGAAGGTACATCAGTTAGTGAGCTGTAGTAGCTATCACCCCCCCCCCCCCCCCCCCCGTTACTAAACATCTTATAGAGTGGTACATAACATCGGAGGAATGAGTTTTCGACAATCGCTGTTTTTTCTTAATTTCCTATGCAATCGGATCTAACAAATTTTCAAAACCATGGGTTATAATATAGTCAATGGTCAAATGGAGGATATGTTCTAAGCCACTTTGTAGGCGCAAATCTCTCATCAATGAGTTAAAGGTACCTTTCCGATGGTATTTTAGCCAAAAAAACTTATTATGTAGCCTACCATCTAAGTAGTTTCCGTATTTCTCTTAGTCCTTTGTATTCACCAGCAAATTATTAAAGAAGCAGGCTGATATGTCATCGCCTCGGCGTTGATTTGTAGGAACGCATTACCATAGATAAAACATGGCATTACCTACCTACATAAAGAGAGCAACTGACCTTGTCTGACACTTTAGACCATGTGGGATTTATTCTATATAAAATATTAGTAACCTAACCATTCGTAATAAAGTGCTAGCAAATAAGAGACACGCTAGTTTGTTGCGTTATTGACTGTGTGTACAGCCTTCAACTCGGGCGAAGCAAATGCATTTTTAGGTCTTTCTGCTAAAGATGACAAAACGCGAACAGTGGCGGAAGTTCTAATTCTCATTTTAGACCTTCCGCCACGTGTCCAAAATGCAGACTGTTTATACCCTCAACAACTCTCATTTTATTTTATAAACATTTTGTTTACAAAATAGGTTCAACTTCCACCATGGGTTCAACCTATTAGGTTGTGTGCCCAAGGCATAAATACCGCAAGGTCTAAAACAGAAATAGACCACTTCTTGTTTCCACTTAGACCCTCAGCAACAAGTTTAAATGGCAAATTGTAGGCCAAAGGTCTAATTAGACCTGCCAGCAACTCTCCCTATCGCCAAAAAAATTAGGGATGTTTTAAGGTCTAATTAGACCTTCTGCACACATGTTGTACTTATTGCTGAGGGTCTAAAGGGCAGTAACCGTAGGTTGAAAGAAAACTTTTCCACTGTTACTGTTGCCGGGATATAGGCTGTGTGCCCAAGGTATAAATCCCGGCCCGGGATTTATACCTTGGGCACACAGCCTTTATTTTCTAATTAAATGTGTATATAATGAGAGTTGCTGAGGGCCTAAATCCTGTTTGCATTTTGGACGAGTAGCGGAAGGTCTAAAATGAGAATATTAGACCTTCCCTTCCGCCACTGTTCACGTTTTGTTATCTGTAGCGGAAGGTCGAAGATGTAGTAACACTTCGGCCCAGTAACATTTCGGCCAAACTCAAATTTCTTAGAAAAACAGTATCACTTCGTCCCACTCGCTTTTACAGATGATTAAATAAGCTAATGGAGTAACATTTCGGCATTTCGGAAAAATTGACAAGGGCAGTTCAGGTAGTAAGAGTACATGACCTGTATACTTTGCAACCACCCTCTGGTGGAATGTCGCCCAACCGTCACCCCTTGCATCCTCTGACCTCACATGACGGAGAATCGGTGGAATCTTCGCTAACCTAACCTAACCTGTCAAATATTTTGTTGGGACGAAGTGTTACTAGTGGGCAGGTAGAGAGTTGGACCGTAGGCCACATCTGAGGGTTTCAGGCCGAAATGTTACTGGGCCGAAGTGTTACGACACGAGGTCGAAGGTCTAAAAATGCCGGCATTGTAGACCTTCCAGGATTTAGAACTTCAGCAACACTCCCGGATATTAAGACGTGTGCCGGTAGTCTTTCTTTGTGGTAGCCGAATAAAACCCCATATCGATCAACAACCGAATGAGTGTTTATCCGATAGCTATAACCATCGATTAAATCACTTCATCTATGCTATAACGCTTGAACCCTACTAACTGGTACTGGTATCGTATTGCAGCTCGCTTCAGTCCAGTCGTCCTCGTCCAGTCCAGTTGAGATTTTTGTTAGTCAGTTAGTGACGGCTGCACGCGGAACGCGGAATTCGAGTAAGTCCAATAATTGCACAAAATTTAGTAAACAAATTAACATATAGTCTTATTTGGAAAAATCTTTTAACTTGTCCCACTTTATAGTTTGTTATATTTTAATTAACACCGTTCACAAAACAAGTAGAGTATAATCTCCAGCAATTTCTATTCTACTAGGTAATCAAGAAATTTGTTAAAACTGTCCCGTTAACTGTCAATCTATAGTTCTAATCACAAGGAAATAGAACAAATAAATTCGTTTAAAATTGATAGCCTCTTAAATTTTTCATTTTTATAATAGGTTTTGATTGTTTTATGTTTACGTTATGTAATTCTAGATTTATATCTCAACGTTTATGATTATTTCGTATTCTATAGTGTTAAATTGTTACACGCATTATAACCCAATAAAATACATACTAACAACAACATAGACAGATAGATAAAAGTTAACACAAAGATGTCAACCGAGTTATGAGAAGTAGAAGTAAATGTTACACGAATCTCATTGTTTTGAATAAATCTATTTACATTTAAGAAAAGGAAAGAAATAGTTTGGACTATGGTCTATAAAAATGCCGTAATGTATCCAAAGTTAGTCTTCTTTACTTTTGGGGTAGTAGCGATTTGGAGGGTTGGGGGGTGGTTCGGTTGTTGTGGGCAAGGGCAGGGCTGGGAGGGGAATGGCGCGGGGTCATTACTGTATTGTGCTTTCCTGAAAACATTGAGTCAAATGAGTCTGATACCCCGAGGATGCGCACTGCCCCGGTGGCACGACGACGCTCACTAAAAGTGTTAATATTGCTGTAACTTAATTATTACTACTGTAATGTACTTTTAACAGTAGAAATACCCTTTAAGCTTATATAATAGCCTATCTAAAAATTAAAAATCTAAAAATTATCACTAGTTTGATTTTATTAATGGGTCTTGGAAAGCGTAATTTGTGTAGATTTGCAAATAATTTAACGAATGATTTCAAAGACATGCTTTCTTTTTAGGACTCCTTTTTTTAATCTAAACTTACATTTCTGCAGCTCTTTAGTTTCTTTTTTCAGAGTGTAACATTTTTTTTATTTGTAAACACATAAGTTTATACATGGAAAATGTATAACTTAATACCAATAAAATACATTCATTCTGAAGAAGGAAAACAAAGAGTTGCAGAGATGTACGCTAGGTAAGTGTTAAATTATAAACTAAAAATTAATAAGCATTTAAGAAACCCACAAGCATTATATTATCATAAATAATTTGCTAGAAAAAGGCAGAAATCTACCACTCAACATTTTCCTCTTTTTGACGAATCGGACATTTTCAGCCGCCATATTGGATATAAAAAATTATTTTTGAAAATTCCTAATAACTTTTAAATGGATTAAGATTTTGGCAAACGGATGCTACGTCGTATTCAGCGTAAAATAAAAATCTAGTTTGAAACGATGGTTCACAACTCCACCTTTACGTTTGAAAATAATTTTTGTATCCAAGATGGCGGCTGAAAATGTCCAATTCATCAAAAAGAAGAAAATATGACCTGAAAATGTTGAGTGGTAGATTTCTGTCTTTTTCTAGCAAATTATTGAGACTATATACAGGGTGTCCCGGAACTCTCTACCAATATTTTAGGGCATTGTTCCTGGGTAAGAAACATACCTAAATATCATATTTAAATTGTCCGGAAGTCCTTAGTTACTCACACAGCCGCCATTTTGTTTTTTTCAGTTATTAATTTTTTTCTAAAGAACGGTTAAACATATGAAATTGAAACTTTGCAGAAAACATTTATGACAACTAGACAAAGCTACAAAAAAATTATGACGATTTTTCAAATTCATAAAACAAAATGGCGGCCATTTAACATTTTTATAAAATCAACGGTTTTTGAGTTATTTAAGAAACAAAATTTTAAATGGCCGCCATTTTGTTTTATGAATATGAAAAATCGTCATAATTTTTTTGTAGCTTTGTCTAATTGTCATAAATGTTTGT